ATATTGAAACTTTATTAACTGTCAAATTACATTCTTTATACAAAATTTAAATTATAAAATGTTTAAAAATTAAAAAAAGATAAGAACATTTTCTATCACATTTCTCTTAATAACATTTAATAGGATTTACGTGGCAAACTTTCATCCCTTAGTATTAAACCTTTTCGATTGATCAAACCGCTTTATTTTACATAAAGTGCCGATCAAGTTTTACTGCCTTATACATATCTCGTTATTCGGGCCAAAGTGAGAACATTTTACGTACCTACCCATATTATATTTTGTTCTCTAGACAGCGTGAACCTATTATATACTAGCGATCCGACCCGACTTCGCGGTAGATAGAACTTTCGAAATAATATATAGCTTATGTTACACGCTGATAATGTAGTTTTTTATACGTGAAAAAAATTTTAAAATCAGTTGGGTAGTTCTTGAATTTATCAATCACAAAATAAAAAAACAAACAAACGATCAAATCTTACCTCTTTATAATATTAGTTTAGAAATTATGCTTCCTGCATTCCTGCTCAGAGAATGTAATTTATGTACTTCATATTTACACTAACAATACATATTTTAACTAAACCATAAAAATAAAAAAAAATCCATAGAAATCCATAAGATTCAAAATCAATGACTTCCAATTAATACCATCGTTAAATCAACTGAAAATTCCATAATTGACGGCAGATACAATTCTGAACTTTTTCTATTGCAAAAAAATTCTGAATCAAATTGCTAATACCGGAAATAATTATGATGCGCCGTAAAAAAGAAACAAAAATTCATTTTAATTAATGCCTAAATCTTCTTTTAAAAGTTAGTTAAAAAGTTCTCGTTTTATTAACTGACTTTAAAATTTGTCTGATTTTTTCATTCTATTTTATTAAATATATACAGATTATGTGTAACAGCAAGACTACTTTAAAAAAACTGTGGACCTAAACGTATATTACAAGTTAAACATATAAAGAGCTACACAATACAATCCAGAAGAGTTTTTCTTACCTTCTAAACATATACTGAAAGAGGCACATTAACCCATCTCTTTTGAGGATAGTAAAATCGCAAAGTTTAAAATATTTTTTGTAGATCTAAAAGTACATTTTTATAATTTCAAATGTCATATATGCAGGAGGACAGGCTTTATTGAGAAAATAGAGAAGTAAAAACAGATTTCATTTTAACTTTCTAAATATTATTTAAAGAATACGAGTACAACAATGAATGAATTCTGCAAATAACGGGTTATGAATTCAATAAAAAAGGAAGTCATAGTAAATATTTTGTTAAAAGAAAAGTTTGTGAATTTTACTTTTGATGAAAATCAGAATCACATTTCCACATAAAATTTTTATATTTTTCTAATTTTGTAGGCAACATTATTTCAGTTGCGTTTTTTAAAATATAATAATAGCATATAAAATCTCATCAAAGTAAATGTTCTTTCTTAAAAGTAAAATAAGTAAAATCAATTCGCCTATTTTTAGATAATGTTTTTTCAAAAAATGTTCGTAAGAGATTTTCATATAAATTTGTTTAGATTTACTAATAAACAAGAAAATGATATGAGAATTTTAGCTTTCCAAGAAGAAAATTAGTACAGCAGCGTTATTATTACAAGTATTTATGGAAAAGTACACCATTTAATATATTATCTTCTTTCATAAACTACTAATATTATAAACGTGAAAGTGTGTTTATTTATGACCTCCTGGCGCTTTAATGACTCAACAATTTCTCCTGAAATTTAGTATACGAGTACACATACTATCTGGAATTAATAAGTATGTAGACTACTAATAATTCCGGCGGATTTACTTATGACGATTACGCGGACGTAGTCGCCGGTAAAAATTTGTTAGTTGTTCCGCCTATACTTTCTCAATTTTGGTTCTCTTGTCCACTCCACTTATAAACTCGTTAAAATTTATAAACCTACTGTATCCGTGACGTTGGCCATGCTGCGAGCCTTTTATTTTCCCTTGGGAATGAGACATTTCACCACAGTAAAAATTTTCTATATTATGTTGACCCAGTTCCTAAGTTCACCATTGTTATGTCACATTTTTATTATACACATAGATGTATCACACAAACTATACCATCTGAGTATCATGCTACGGCCTACGATTTACGACCTATGCTCTTAACACCGACAAACCTCGCAGGATCTATCATAGCGGCCCATCAACCTATGTACGCGCACACTGTGTCGCCCGCCGTTTATATGTATACTTACCTACCTATCATTCCTATTTACTATATTCTAGATTTTTTGAAATATACTCTGGTAATCTATACTTCAACATAATTAAATTCGAATTCAAATCATCTTTATTCAGACAGACGTGTCTACTTTTAAATTGTTATTTTTCAAATCGACTGCAGAGTTCCGAAAGTTGTTATCTGTTAAGAAAAGCCCGCAAGAAACTCAACAGTAACTCTTTTAAACCTCTATTAATATTTACATATAAGTACACATATATCTATTTAAGTAATGACTATTTCTAAAATTATATGGTCATTAAAAAGCCCGTGCATGATCGACGCTATACACGCTTGTCATTCAAGTCACTCAACCTATATTTGTTTCGATCTCGCTGTCGTATGTTCTCCTCTGTTTGTATTACATCAATTTCTTCCAAACATTACATATTAGAACTTATCTTACTTATCCTGAGCGGAATCACCTACCTCATCAAACCAAGAATCCCTGGGGCAGAGTATTTCGTTAGATCGTCCAATTAGGTTTTCACTCCTGAATAAATTTCGCATTTGGGTGCAGACAGAATACTTGGCGAGGTTGTAGATACATAACAAGTATTATAGGCAGCTCATAAATATCGACGTCTCTACCACTGCTATGTCTGTATATATGACTAGATATTCTGCAGATTGCATCCATATTCTTGGGAAAAGAATAAGTTTATTCCGCAAAATTTGTTAAGTATAATAAATCAATTGAATAAGAAAATAAACACAATTTATCTTCTAGTGTTGATGCCATTTTGTTGTTTGTTTTAATAATCCCAGTATTTAACTAACAATGGCTAATGCTGGCTCTCAGTAAACGTTCTATCTATTCTATTTAAGAGCTGCGCTCTTGTCGGTGGAGCTCTTGCCACTCACTACGATTTTTAGCAAGTCTCTTCACCTATTGATACGACACGATACCAACTCCTTGCTAGTAAACGTTACGATTCTAAATTTATTTTTCAATATTTTGTATTATTAAATTTTTGTTATTCACCTCTGTAGAAGCTGTATAGTAACATTACTAAGAGATTATCATTAACTATTATTTAGTTCTTTTTTTACATTAAACAGTTATAATTTTTTTGTACAATTTTTACGATTCTATACTTACAAGGTAAAGGCATGTATAAAGGAACCCTTATGGTGAGACTTTATCCGTCCATCTGTCACAGCTGAGATATATTTCAGCATAGTTGCTTAGATGTAACTTTTACTGATACTACTTACATATTATTAGCCTAATATGTAAATTTATTATACATATTACAATAAAAATAACAGAAAAAATGTTTTTTTTTTAACTCTCTAAAACAACTAAGTGTTCAAAAAGGTTACTAGTCTAAGTGGAATATAATATGAAAGGGATTCGTTTGTGCATTTAAAAACTGATTTTATATTTGTTTTTATGCTGCGTGATTTTTAGGTATGATCGAAAATATGAGAAAAAACAATCCCCCCTCTCCCTTATTTAATCACAATAGGGCTCAAAATAAAAAATTACAAATTATACTCATATTAGTATCAATAATAATTATTATTGGATATCTGTATCGTAATATGTGCAATAAAAGTTACTTTACCTCATATTTATACATTTATGTACGGAACCCTCGACACGTAAGTTCAACTCGCACTGATTTTATTTTCTTCAGTGATCGTACAAGTAATTTTATTGTGAAAAGTCACGCCATGTGGCCGTATTTCTCGTATGACGAAACACTATTTAGCGCAACGTCTGTGACTATACTAACGAGACGCATCGCTGAACATTTGCCCTCTTAGTGAATACACAGCTTTTTATTAACACCATATTTTCCTTTGAATTCTAAATGGAACGATGTTTTTACGAACTTGTTTATAAATATATGCAATTCATATTGTACGAGAAGCTCTTTTCACCGAATTAAGAAAATAAAAGTTAGCTTTTAGAAATATAACAAATAATACTCGTGCTTGGTAATCTTCGTTTCATTTGAGAGTTTCCTCTTATCGGGGCACTATGCATTCATTCTCTCCCAGGCAACTCTATTGCAGACCATATCTTTGACCTCCATATACAACATAACACCTAGTGTTTCTTTATCATCTCTCTCATGTAGTTTTTTCTCGGTCTTCCCCTTCCTCTTTTACCCTCTATTTGGTAATAAATGATGTCAAATTTCCATTGGTCGCACGCAGATACTACATAGACACGTACACACATACGTAGATATATACTATAAAAAAACAAAGTTTTACAAATAAATTTACTTATAATGCAAATTTTATTTTCAATACATATTATCCATAATCAACAGCATCCTGAGTATGATAGCAAGCAGGCTGGACTGTGTGTACGTTAATCACTGCTGCGCAATTTCCAATGGAATTGTGCAGCGGTGATTATCTGTATACTGCTTAATATATTGTATGTGTGTATGTGTGTGTATGTGTATTGTGTATGTAAATTTACTAACATTAGTTTTTAAGAATATTGTTACTAATAAATATTTAATGGACCAAAAAGTCTGAAATAAAAATTATTATTATTATTATTATTATTATTATTTTTTTTTTATGCAAACTTTATTACTCAGCTATAGCTGGTATATACGCTACTTTGCGTATACTGCACTTACGGGCCGAGACCAAGTAAGTGCAGTGTGTGAGTTTTTGTGTGTGTGTGTGTGCGCGCCCATGCATGCATATGCATGTGCATGCTCACGCACCTATGGCTATGTGTATGCAACTATTACATGTTATGTCTCTGTGGTATTATTAAATGTTTCGTTTTCTATTTGCAGGAATTTTCGAACAATTCTGCATGTATTCAATATTACAGCTTTTTGTAGTGTTGTATATAGTGTTTTACGCAGGTCTATTTCTTTCAGGCTATGGTGTAAATGTTTGGGTATAACTCCTGTGGTTGAGAGGACAATAGGTATCACATAAACTTTTTCTTGTTTCCAAAGTCTTGTTATTTCGTCTTTCAGTTCTGTGTATTTACTTATTTTTTCCGCTATTGTCTTCTGGATGTTATGTGTATTGGGGACGGCGATATCTATTAGGTAAGTTATTTTATTCGTTTTATTTTGTAAGATTATGTCTGGTCTATTGTAATGTATGGTCTTATCAGTGAGTATGGCTCGGTCAAAATATAGCTTATATGTCGCGCTTTCTAACACAGTTTGTGGAGTGTATTTGTAATATGGAGTATGTGTGTTTTGTATTAGATTGTACTTGTGTGCTAGGTTTTGGTGAATAATATTAGCTACTTGATCGTGTCTGTGCTTGTAGTCTGTCTGTACTATTGCCTTGCATGAGCCTGTAATGTGTTGAATTGTTTCTGGAGAGCTATTGCATTTTCTACATGTATCAGAGGTGAGTGTTTTTGTAATATATTTCTGATAGTTTCTGGTCTCAATGACTTGATCCTGTATAGCTATGATAAAACCTTCAGTCTCTGGGTATAAAATTCCTCGACTTAGCCATGCGTTCGATGCTTCTTTATCGACATTAGATTGACATAAGTCGTGTCGGTGTCTCCCATGTAAGGACTTTTCAGACCACGCCGTCAGTTTAGTTTGATTGTTGACGAGCGTCTCATTTGTCTGTGTACTTCCATCTTTTAAATTTAAAGGTGTCAATTTATTGTCATTTTGTACTATGGATTTGTGAAGCGCTGATGATTCCATTTTGCTGAAGAAATATTGTCTTAAACTTGAAATTTGTGTGTTGTGTAAGTTTACGATATCAATCAAACCCCTGCCTCCTTCTTTTCTAGGTAGAGTTAATCTTTGTATGCAAGATCTAGGGTGGTGTTTACGATGTTTTGTCATATTTATGTTGATTGTGCGCTGTAATGATTTTAGGTCTGATTTGGTCCAGTTTATTATGCCGAAAGAATAAGTCAGTATGGGTATAGCATACGTGTTTATCGCTTTAATCATATTTCTGGAATTAAGTTGGGTTTTTAATACCACATTCAGTCTGTGTCGGAATTGTTGCTGTAGTTTTAGTTTTATTTCTTTATGGTTTATAAAAAGTGCTTGGTTGTAACCTAAATATTTATATACTTCTTGTTCGCTAAGTGATGTTATTTGTTCTCCTGATTCTAATGTGTAGTTATATGGGTGTTGACTTCCTGCCCTAATGGAATTTATTTTACATTTCTCTAATCCAAACTCCATTTTTATGTCATTTGTAAATTGTTCTACTATTTTCGTTAATTGGTTCAGTTGGTTTTCGGTTTCGGCATATAACTTTATATCATCCATATACAATAAATGGTTTAATACATTTTTATTCATATTTGAAGACTGATCATCAGTTTCTTTATAGTTTAAAGGGTATCCTACTGAAGAAGAGTTAAGCATATTTGAGAGAGGATTTAGAGCCAAACAGAACCAGAGTGGGCTGAGGGCGTCTCCTTGGAATATGCCTCGTTGTATTTTGATCGGTATAGTTTGTATTGTAGCTGTGAGGGTTTTAAGTTGTAATTGTGTTGTCCAGTTTGCCATTGTTGTTTTCAAGAAAGTTGTTATTTTTGGATGAATTTTATACATTTCTAAGATTTGTACTAACCAAGTGTGAGGTATTGAGTCATATGCCTTTTTGTAATCAATATACATAGTGTGTAAGTTTGATTTAGCTTTATGAACTTGTTTTAGTATTACTGAATCTATAATTAATTGCTCCTTACATCCTTGAGAAAATTTCCGGCATCCTTTTTGTTCTTCGTTCAAAATATTATTAGTGTCAACATGTTGATATATTAATTCAGCTATGCAGGCAGTAAGTATTTTGTATAGTGTTTGTAGGCAAGTTATAGGTCTATATTTGGACGGATTCTTACGGTCATTGTGGTCTTTTGGTATCATAAATGTTATTCCCATTGTTAGATAGGAAGGCATCGTATTAGAGTCTTGGATAAAATTGTTTATGTAGTTAAGTAAATGGATATGAGTATTTGTAAATTTTTTATACCAATAACAATGTATATAATCTGAACCTGGTGATTTCCAATTATATGAATTACGAAGTACCTTTTCAAATATATCTGTCGGAATATGTTCAAATGCCATTGGTTCTATTGTTATATCACTTTTGTTAATTTCTTTTTGGATCCATTCAGCAGAGCAATTGTGTCGAACAGGTTGTTCCCATATTCCTGCCCAGAAAGATTGTAATTCTTCGGGGTTGGGTGTGTCAATCTCATTGCTATTATTGTGTTGTGTGTTTGTCGTATTTTGTTTAATGTTTCGGTAAAATTGTTTTTCGTTAGTGTCGAATTGATTATTTTGTTGTTTTCTTAGTGTACATGCATTATATCTTCTTAGCCGACCCGATGTAACTGAAAGTTTTTGTTTCAGTGTGTCTAATATATGTGTAAAACATGTATTTGGTGATTCATGTATGGAATGGATTTTGTACTGCTCTTTTATTTTATTTACTTGTATCTTAAGCTTTTTATTTCTATTTCCGTTAATAAATTGTGTTACTTTACCTATTTTTGCTCTGAGGTCATTTACCTTATGCTCTAGTCGTTTCTGCCAGCTCGGTTTGTATTGTTTTTGAGTAATTTTTTCTTTATCTGTTGATCTCAACTCTAATTTTGCCCCATTAGCTTTAGAGGCCGTCCAGGCTGCACAATATATAATAGTCTGTAGAGTGTTAAAGTCTGTATTGTTGTTGATGTTTTCAGGGATAATTATTGTATTTATGTAATCAACTATTTTCGCAAATTTATATGATGATTTTTGTTTAGGTATATATGTTCTGGATGTTGGGTTAGTAAATTTATAGTATTGCAATGCTTGTTCGAAAAGTTGGTCAATTTTCAAGTCTCTTTCTAGGTTTCTTGTATTCATTGGAGATGATAGTTGTTGATCATTTTGTTCTATATTATACATGCTATTTATTTCTATTTCAATATTATCATTGACAAAATTATGTGTAGTGTTTGTATCAGGATTTAGATTATCTGTGTTGATTTGATTTGATTGAGTGAGTTGCTCTTCAGACACTTCTTGTCTTATTGTATTTAATCTGTTTTCACTTATATATTTATTATTTATGATAGCCCTTCTCTGATCAGCTATTCTTTGTTCACTCAAATGAGCGAGTGATGGAAAGTGGGTAATAAAACTCTCATGTAAGCTCTTCCTATAAGCAGTTTTATTTGTCTCCAAAAGTGTGATTCGATAGTATAATCGCATTAGGGTTTCATTGTGTTCAGTTGTCCATTTTAATCGGGTTTGTTTAATTTGCTTATTTCCTGTTTCTGAGTTTATTTGAGATGTCTGCGTGGGCTGTTGTGTAGTATTTTGTTGATTTATGTTATTGGATACTTGTGAATGTTCATTGGTGATTTGGTTTATATTGTTTTGGTTACACTGTAATTTTTCTGTCACTTCCATATAAATTTCATTTATTGTTGTTTGTGGAAGAAGTTTATTTCGTAAAATAGCTCTGCGCTGATCACCTATTCTCTGACGGCTGACTTGCATATGTGGGTATTTTTCTATAAATCTCAGATGGAGTGCTTCTAAATAGGCATTTTTGTCAGTATCTAGTGATGTTAATAAAAGATAAGTGCGCAGTATGAATTTATTCATTTCAACTGTCCATCGTTTGCGCTTACGAGGGATACTTGATGTGGGTGCAAGTACATGGTCAATATTGGCCTCTTGCACAACACTATCAAGTGTACTAGATGATGAAGTTCGTTTTGTCATATACGAAGGAGGGGTTGAAGGAATGGATGAGTATAAAGAGGTAGAGTCGTCGTCTATAATGTCGGCTGTAGCTTCTACGTCGTGAGTCCGCCTGTTCAACTCCCGACGACCGGCTGTAGCATCTTGTGTAACGAGTGCCCGCCTGCTCAGCGCCTCGTCACCGGTGTCCCGTAAACTGTAGCACCCAGCACCGGCTCCAGGTGCGCCCCGGCGACCCCCGGGCAGCGACCGTAAATTGTATTTTTTAATATTCTGCTCCATAAGGGTTTTGTATTTGGGATGATTAGTAGGAAGGGTAGCCTTGTTGTGCAGGCTTTGTAGCTTAGTTCCTTCCGAATGGGGTATTTAGTCTAGATGTGCTGACTACTAATTTGTACCTCCTTCCCTTAAGCCCCCCCACCACGTCAAGGTTCAATCCCCTGGGGGGGTTATTATTATTATTATTATATCTTATATCCTGGTGTTGAATAGTCTACAACTACCTTTTTCAAGAAATGAGCTATCTAAGAAATTTTTTTTTCTAATCCAGCTCTACATCCAGACATGCAGCAATTTAAAATGACAAAACAGCTGACACACCACCTGATAACACACCCATTATTAAAAATATTTCAAATATATTACTTACCCGTATGCATCATAAACTAATAATGAAGCAAGTAAAACATGAACATACTCGTGTCCTACAAATTATAATGTACCGTGTAGTGAATTTGCTTTCATTAATATGATAGGAGTGCCTTAATGACTTGCCCTTATAGTATGAATATTCAGCGAGGCTTGCTAGAAGAGGCTTCAAAGGGTTTATCTAAGCGATAAATGCTTTAATTTCCAGAAGCGAGTTATTAATAAAGTTCTCAATATATAAATATATGACTGAGATTACAATGGTATTATTGTATCTCTGTTTACATTAACGAAATGTGCACTAATGATTGATATATGAAACCATCAATCTCAACCTGTCATATTGCTTTTAGATCCCGTCTCAAGCTTTTCCAATAGCTATGTTATATTTTTAGGTATTTGTCTACTTTTAATGTACGGTAAGACAATACCAGTGAAACACAATTATTACTTAGATATAAAAAAACTCATATGTCACTTTATACCCAAATTATAGAGGGAGACTTTGTACAAAAGTCGATTGGTTAGGTACCTCTGTCCCATTCGTGTTTCAACCGGGAAGTTTTGTTTGCATGGTTATGTTTTGGTTTGTAGTGTGGGGTATGGTGTGAATTTAGTGGGTACAGAGGAATAACACCTGAGACCTCAGGAATGGTAACGCATGGGGAGTATCGTGGGCAAAACAGTATACTCTGTTATGTCCATGGTACTGCTCATGTCTATAGGCGACGGTTATCACTTTCCATCAGGTGGACCGTCAATTTGTTTGCCATTCTAAGTTGTATAAAAAAAAATTATTAATGCCCAAAATTGTTTTGTTATTATACAGCAATCTATAGATTCATCATCATCATCTCAGCCATTTGCCATTCACTACTAAACCTAGGCCTTTCCCATAGACTGTCATAAGGAACGGTCCTGAGCCACCTGCATATACATTAACATTATTACTAACATATACATTATTTAAACAAATGACGCAACTGCACTTTTTGTAATTTTTTATTCAAAACGGGTGTAAATGAATTATTTGAATCCCGATGAAATATCCACTCATTTTAATATTACTAAATAAAATTTATATATTGGAAATTATAATAATTTATTTTTTAGAAGGGTGGAAGGGAGGTAAAGTAGTGTAAGGGAGAGTTAGTTAAGTCGCTCCTCTTCATCTAAAAGTTACCTGGAAAGATCGTTTTTTGCGATAACACCGCCTATTATTTTATCAGTATTATCTTATATTTCTTTTCTAAGTTAATGAATAATCAATTATCTTACAACTATTTATAGTATGCCTCTCTCTAAAATGTCGATAGATTATAATCATATTATTCCTGTGTTTGATCAGTATAGTGAGATCACATGTCGTGCTATTTTAAACACAATTATAAACGACCTAACTACTTTATAGTGCAATATTTGTAAATTCAGTTAAGCGATTACATTAGGTATAAATTTTAAACATAAATTATTTTTTTGGCCGGAGTGCTCGGTCCGTGTAGCCTTTTTGAAAAAAACAGTTTGATTGAAAATCTTTTGACATTAATAATTATATATATTATATAATAAATATATATATTATATTTATTATATTAAATAGTTATGGAATGAGCTTCCTGTCGAAGAATTTCCAAAATGGAAGTTATGGGATGGGGTTATTCAAAAAAGGGGTAAAGAGGTTTCTTTAGGGTCGGCAACGCGCGCGTAATGTTCCTGGTATTGCAGGCGTTCATAAGCTACGGTAACCACTTACCATCAGATGGGCCGTATGCCTATATATATTACATATACATAATATATATTTGGCACCTCAGTGGTGTAAAAAAATCTATAACCGTAACAACCAAGAGTATCTAACTATTTCTCTATTGTTCTTAATGATTTAGGTACGCATCATTTATGTCCGTGGCCAACAGTAATAAAACATAACAATGCTTTCTGAGGACCAATAAAGAAAATAGTTGGAACAAATGACCACAAATTTCTATAAGAACAGTACAAAGTTAGATTTGAACAAAGAAAAGGGCGGATGGAGCAACAAAGTGCGTAAACAAGGGGGTCTTATTGGTTTTATTTGAAAAGTTCGGATGAACGCGGTTTACTACCTACGGCCGGGAACAAGGTCTTCATTGGGTTAAATCAATCCCTGCTTACATGAAATAATTCTCTACATTTCGCAATAGTAGTAGTAATAAAATATTATTTCAGACAGGTATAAAAGTACTGTAAAAGAATCAGCCTACTTTAAAAACCATTAAGTTAATTTAGCTGCATTTTTCTCAGATTTGATATTCATATTGATTCCATACTAATTATATCACGATTACTGGCGTGAAATAAGAAATCTCTTAAATTATTGTAAATTGAGTCGGAATCATATTTCATTTAAATTCGTTCAGTATTTTTAATATTTGGTGTCAAAAGCAAGTACAGTTCTTTAATAAAAATAAAGTGTTATTTTACAGAAACTATTGAAAGTCATATACACAGTAAACCTGAATGGTAAAACTAAACAAGATAATAATATTTCAATAAACATACAGAATCAGCTTTATTTTATTTAAGTTACTTTTTTCTTTAATTATTTTTGAAAATTATAATCTGAACTAGAAGCATTTAGGATAAAATAATTATTATATACAATTTGAAAAATTGTATATAATAATTATTTTAGCACTGTATAATATATACTATACACTGAATACACACTTGGGCATATCTAATGAATAAAATTTGTTTTTTTTTTCAAGTGATTGGGTGACCATTATTAATAATAAAAGAGGTATATTCAAAAGTAACACACTTGCTACACAATCTTACATATATTTTGCCTGAATATCCTGGAAATAATATTTCAGTGCATAAGTGATGGGGGCATGTTCAGAGCTATTACGAACGAGCGGTGCGACGGTACGCGCGGATAGAGCGTCGAACACTCGCGTCGAAACAGCATTAAGGGAGATGGATGGCATTGGACCATGCCATCGCCTCTTTAATCTCGCGTACAAAAGAGATATACGACTCGTACTCGATATCCGTACTATATCCGTACTGAGTGTTACATTTTCAACGCGCTGATAGTTACGAGTTGATGACAACAAAAGATTAATATCACAAATATTCGTTGTCTCTGTCTGTGATTAATATAACACATAGGTGAGTTCCTAGTAAATATGTACATTTCAAAATAGATTTTGGTTTCTTAAGATGTAACGGAATTTATAAATTTGAAAACACTACATGTTTTATCAGTGACGGAAATTAACGCAATATTTACCTGAACAATCTCTACGTTACAATCAATTTTTTTTTAATTGCACAATAAAACTTTGTACAAGTAGCGAGCTTAATGCCATATGACATTCTCTACCAGCTAACTATTCGGTAAAAACAGAAAGCGTATGAAAAGCAGATGTGGTGAAAAATATGTGACATAATTATAGTAACATACTGCAATAAATATATGTATTATACATAAGAAATACACATATAATACATAAACTTTTATTATGTAATATAATATATATAGTTATAACACCAAAACAATGATAAGCATTATGAAATATGGATTATTAATTGATAAACTATTGAGTTTTGTTGACTCAACAAATAATTAAAAAGATTTCTTTCAAAAAATTTGCTTATTGGGTGCTCTTCCTAGATCTATAGGGATTTTATTCCAGAGGCTGATAGTAGTGACGGTAATAAAATTAGACATAAATCCTGAATGGTGTGATAGGGTTACGAGGAAAAGATTGTGAGATAACCAAAGATTACGGGAATGGGAGTCTTTGAAGAACTGAAATATATCTTTCAAAGAAGTGGGAGAGGAAGGATCATTGAGAACAGTGTGCAAAGGATACGTAAGTCTTTGCGGTTACGAATAGTCAACCATTTGAGTTGTGAGCGGAAATTAAACACCTGGTCATACTTACGGAGTCCAAAGATCAAACAAATGCAGTTGTTAAGCAAATGATATAAATATCATAGTATTTTTTATAGTTTATTGCATTAATTTTCGTCTCTTATAAAACATAAAATATACAGCGCCAAAGTCTGAAAGTTAATAAAAACTTTCCATGGTACCAACTTAGATTACATATGTAGAATATAACCATACAAATGCTTCGCCAAAAACAGGTCAACATTTTTGTTCATGTGTGCGTGAATAGGGTTACCATAATGTACATTTATTACTAAGTGCATGAGAGAAATTACATTTTAAGAGTAAATTGAAAGATAAAAACGATGATTGAAAGAGCAAGGTAAACTATGCATAAAGATATATAACGATACTTATATTTACTGATTACTTTGATGTATTTCCAATTATAGACGTAAAAAAATGTTTTAGTATTAAAATTATTGAAAATGGCCGCCATCTTAAAAAATAGATGTATATTAATTTGTTAGCAGTTCGTATATAGGTATACATATTTATATTACATCAGAAAAAAAAGTTTGCAATTCAAATTTTAAAAAACGAACTGAGCTGGGACATTTTTAATCCAATTACTTACAATACTAAAAAAAGAGCGCGTTTTGTTTAAAAAAAAAATATCAAATTGAGTAAGCTAAATATCAATTTAGCTAATTGAGTCGTAAATGACACTTTATACAATCTAAGACCACATACTACTAACGCACATAATAAAATAAGAAAAAAGTATTATATTAGTAGAAAGACCAAGACCAATACAAGTATAAAAATAACCGACTTATTCTTACGGTACAACTTAAAAAAATTAAAATAAAACATTAAAGTGATATCACAAAACCATAATCAACTTGTAAAATTTTAATAAAGCATTGTTCTTAATTTAAACGAATATTTTACATAGATATCTTTGGATAAGATCATAAGGCAAATTAATTGAAACGGGGGTCCACAAAGACAGCTGTCTATATCGCTCTGAAACAGATCTGCAAACGGAGGCAACAATGACAAAGATTAATTACTCTGCAATAATGACGGCACAGTCTTATCTGCTTCTATTGATTGAATTGATTATGGAGCCATTTTTGTCCAAAAGCAGTGTCACTGACACGTCTGCTAATTGTAGTGAGAACTAATAGTTCTTCCATAATAAAGATAATTATTATTATACTGTCAAATAGGAAATAGTTACCTTCATATATTCGACAGTTTTATATAATTTCACTTCATTTATACATGATTTAAATACATGCACTGCATTCGCAACGAAAATAGACAGGATTTTTTATTAATTTTTTTTTATTTTTTAATAGTAAGAGCAAAATCAAAATCGTTAGTATTTTTAAGGATGTGTTCTGTCAATAGAACTGAACATTGTTTCCAAAGATACATACATGAAAAATATCCAAAAATTTTAATCCTCGCATACTAAGACAGCTTGATCAACGAAATTTTTATTCTTCCATGTATAGCATAGGTTTACTGCTGCTAACAACTTCGATTTCATTCTGCATATAAAAAACTTTTTATTCTTTGTGGATGTGTATGTCCATTATTAACCAGTCTTAATTATTTCTTGATTAGAATAATTAAGACTTCCCGGTAGAAACAAAATTTGCATATCAGATTCGCCAAGCTGAACACAGCTGTACCATCCTTTTTTCAAAGCGACTTACAGCATTTGATTGGTCTTTAACTTACATGGAGGTCTTGATCCCCTTTTTGGATAGGCAATTACAAAACTTTCAACTACTTTAAATATTTATTAAACACAATTGTTAATATTAAAGTTTTTACTTTTAATATATATAAAAACAATAAAAAATGAGTCTATGGAATAGCAAACAAGCTGACGGCCTACCGAATGATAAGCGGTAATCGTCGCCTATAACCATAAATAACACCATGGGTATCTTTCGTCGCAATATCACTTTCATAAAATTATACTACATTATTTTATTTTATTTATTTATACTTTATCGTACACACTAGTAATATATAACAAATATGATAGAGGTAAGAATATGTACAACGGCGAGCTTAACTCTAAAAAAGTTCTCTTCTATCAAACCCAAAGTCCTTTCCACTTTCAATCAATGTCAGCGAGTAGAGCAGTGTATATTGTGACAATTTGCAAACAAGAAGAACAAAACAAACTTAAGTTTATACATAACTAATTACATCGCATTTAATCGTAAATATACAAAGCACATATATTTACGAGTATAGTACATATAAATATACATGGTTGACTGGTAGAGAACACCGTCCGGTGTTAAGTCCGCCAAATGTACAGAAAATAACATATATTTTATTTTAATTATTAGATTGATCATTAACTATGGGAATTTTTAAGTATTAATTATTTGCACTACAACAGAATGGGTCTTAAGGCCTTAGGGCAATAGAATAGGCCACCCCTTTCTTTCCTGTGAGTCTCGTAAAAGGCGACTAAGAGAACTTAATGATAGATGATGAGCAGCAAGGTCCCTCTTAAAATATCACTAAAAGCCTTACTGCTGTTGCCAATCCGCCTGTCAAGCGTGGCAACTACTGGCAAAACTGCCCTTCTGGGGAAGGCTTTTATTTAGCAGTGAACAATTAAGAGCTGATATGATGATTACAACAGCAAAAAGTATGAATGATAAAAGTTGTTTTATTCGTGGTTATGTAGCAATAAATAATTTCGGAGATATTGGCTACTTTATCTCTTTCTTTTTTCTAAAACCTATTAATTACGACGCAAAAATAAAAAATAAAAAACAAGTTTCTTTTGTTGCTACTGTCAAGAATAATTATGATTCAAGTGTGCCATTAGAAATTTTAAATAATAGAATTATTAATGATAGTCTTTTATTTAACTGTTCCAGTTATTCCCCAAAACTTTAAAGAAAACAACACAAAATATTTATTTTGTTATTAATCAAATACATACATATGATATGAGTCGGTATATTATCAACTAACTATACATTATTATCAACAAATAATCCTAACTAGTATTTAAACAGGTAAATTTTACCAGTCTTCTACTATATAAGTGCTATATGGATAGCTCCTGTAGCTCCTGAAAAGATAAAATTTAATAATTATAAACTTATATTTGATACAGTCTTGTCATATAAGATATAATAGACGGTACTAGAGCGACGGTATGCGATCCTCTGCTCAAGTGTACCAATAGCAGTCAGTAGAAAGTGGTCTCATAATAATTACAACCGCCATGATAAAAGTATATATACTCATATTAAATACAAGCGATCCGGTGCGGCTTCGCACGGGTAGATATTTTTTTTTTAATTTTTTTAATGCAATTTAGAATGGCCAACAAGCTACAGGCTACCTGATGAAAAGTGATAACTGTCGCCTATAGACATGAGTAGTACCATGGATATAACAGAGTAATAATAACATTAGGGAGAAATGATTATTAGTAATGAGGTCCAATAACCCCATTGCTAATAAAATCCTCTATTAGGTCGACTTCTACGCGGTGGACCCTGGTAAACATCTCATCATCATCATCAATTCTTGTGGAATTGATCACAATGAGCTAACTGACCTGCTTTCATCCTCACTGATGCCCCGCCAGCGTGTATTGGCAACACTAACTATATAATAAACATTTGTAAGAGGCTGATATATAAATTGCGCAGTACCTCCTCAACAGTGAACACCAATTGTTTTCACGAAACTAAAACTTGCCTGTATCCACCGTATCCGCCATAACCACTCCTATAATATCCTCCATAGCCCCATCCACCTCCATAACCCCATCCGCCTCCATAGCTGCGTCCAAGTGCAGAAGCCGTCAGGGCACCGCCGACTACACCAGCGCCAATCGCCTTGGCACCGAGTAGACCAGCGCCCAACACGCCAGCACCCAGTACTCCCGCTCCAATAGCACCAGCGCCCAATAGTCCAGCTCCTGTAAAACAGAACAGAAAATAATATAATATAAAATCTTTATTTATATAAACTTACTCTATAGACTCTATATTTATTTAATCATTAGTACATATATGTGTACATAGCGAACTTAATGCTAAAAGCATTCTCTCCCAGTCAATCATAGGGAAGTGTCAGAATACTCGAATTCGGTACTGGTAATTATTGATATACATATATGGTATATATTTATATGTTATATAGACTATTTTATATATTGTAAATTCTATCGTAAAAAATAAATACTAATTTAACTTCATTTTACCTATTTATAAACACGAAAATAAGGAGGTTTAAATTTGCCTATATTTTTATATTGTGATATAATATCTTCTCAAATTCCGAACCCATTTTAATAATTCCGAGTCGAAAGGGTTCATATTAATTTTAATTTAGTCGGATTTTTAACGAAATTCTAAATTGTTGAACAGTTTAGAATTTCATTTAGCTTTTCTTTAACTAACTTCCTACGATCAATATTTACCTCATTCCGATTATAGTCAATTATTTCAGAAGTATGCTGTTATTTACTTATTTTTATACTTTTGTAAGTACGTTTTTTGGACTTCAACATTCAAGCATGCGTGATAGTTAGTAGTCTATCACCCATGAGTATTAATAATTATATTGTATTACTATAGAATTAAAACCGACATTTATTTTAGTCTCAATAAGTTGTTAATCAACAGATGTTTAATCATGGAACGCAAAAATCATTAAAAGACCTACATATAATATAAATGCTTAAGTCCATATGCAGACATAAAAAACTATTATCATGAGCTTTTACGGGACGATTTCATATTAATTGCATAATTAACTCACTATAAGGCTGCTGTAACTGGTTTAAGATACTTTACTGAAGTATTAGAACGCAATGCATATGATTTTATAGACAAGCAAGTATTTCTGTACAATTATTTATACCATATAGTACAATCATTTCTACTCGGGTATATCGATTCAAGTCGACACGGTTGTATGCGTATCACGCTCTGTATTCAATAATTATAATATAATGCTATGAATGTAATCTATCATGAATCCCTAGGGTTGGAAAGTTAGTCCGCCGGTGGGATATTAACTAGGTATATCCGTCTACTTTGCACCTCAGCGCTCATGTATCCATCACGTTACGCATAACAAATAACTATCCATTTTGCAATTTAGAATATTTCCTGTTTTACTAATATAATGTAGGTTATCCTTACTGACATTCATCATATCAGCTTTTAACTGTCCACTGTTGAACATAAGCCTTCCCCATAAGAGGAGTTTTGCCAGTAGTTGCCACGCTTAGCTACCGGAGTTAGGCTTTAGAGATGTATTAAGAGGGACGCTGCTCTCTTTCCCTCGCCCTCCTTTAGTGGTCTTTTACGACACCCACGGGAAAGGAAGGGGTGGCCTATTCTATGCCGGGACTACACGGAAATCATTGCTAACATTAAAAAAGTAAAAATTGGTATTGGAGAGGAAGAGATTGTTATTAATACGGACCACCAGTCCTATTGTTAGCTTAAACTATCGTGCTAAATCCCAGGTAATTGACATGCCTTTTCATCATCACCTATCATCCCGTACTAGTGCCCTGCCAACGTATACCGTTAGCGCGGGCGGAGTTGACATTCCATTATCATTCATTAAAAAAAGGGTACTATTTATTTCGATCACGTGGATGAAGATGCAGGTTAAAACTTACATAGGTAGATAATTAATTAGTTTTTACCCTCGACTTAAGAAAGAGCTAAGAAATAAACTCACTGTCATGTTTATAATATTAGTAAGCATGAAGACATTAAAATATTTGTATTTGCATTTTTTTCTCTTTATGGTACCCAATATCTTAGAAAATTCTAAACTGATTTTGATAATGTCATTTGCATATCGTATGTACCCGTGTTCATCCCGTATTAATTTTCTCATGTTTGAAGTTGCTGTCTTCTCTTTACGAACCAATATCCTGTATGTTAAAATTCAAATAAAAATAGACTGTTCCTTACTTATATTGGTTTTTAATACCAAATTTATAACTGTGAAAATAATTGTCTACTTTGTTTTCTCAATTGTCTGAACCGTTTTTAATGTTATGAAGAATAACAGTAGTTGAAGCCTACGTTCAACAATATAGCATTATAGCGATATAATGTATATAATAATATAGCAATATAACGTTCAAATATCTAACAATATATAGATAGCTGTAATAATGAAATATAAACTTCCTTATTTATAAAGAAAGCAAAGTCATTTTTTATTAATCATCTTATCAAGTCCTTCAACATAAAGTCTTTTGTTGAAGAATTTGATATCATAAATTTGATTTACAAGACGTGTACTCAATCACGTTTTAATTATGCATTAATAATTGTATATAAATATTTTATAATTCTTATTTGTTTAAAAACCCGAATAAACATTAAACGGTTATTAAAAATACTCGAGACAATACGAAAAGGGTAGGGTATCCTTCTAAATTAGTTACTAAGGAAACATTTTCTATAAATCTATACCATGAAGTTATATTCTTAAAATAATAATGTAAAGATTTATGTTAATAAGTTTGTTACCTCTTAGAGGTAACAGCTCTATAAATTAACCATACGCGTATTTGACATAGAGGATATTACTTTTTTATATATTCTTGTCACGCAGACAAAGTTGCGGGCACAACTTGTTATATATATAACAAAACATTTCATCTCCAGTTATCCTGATAGAAATCTATTGTCAACGTTACGATATTTCAGTTAGTAATTTCCGTCAAAAAAGCCTCACTCCACTGAATTGTAGTTAAGAGTTTCAACACACAATACCTACTATAAAATTGCCTTCTATTTTCTACTTCTATTATGAATTAATAAAAATCTATCTATTACTTACATACAAAAAGAAAACCGCAAAAAATAAGTACCATTCAATACGTGTACTATAAAGCCAGACAAAGTAAATAAAAAACAGACTATAAAATAAGATGTTAGTTTTAGTAACGATATTCTTTATATTATATTATACTGTTACCACATAACACTCTTATAATTTAGTAAAATGAATCTAACACTCTGATAAAACAGCAAGTTTCTTTTAGAAGAGCTTTAGAATTTTTTTAAGGATTAGAAAGAATTAGAACTATAAATTTAATAAGAAAATTGTCTTCTTATGCGTTAATTAATACATTTTCCGCTTGTAGGTATAATACATGGGCTTAACTCTAATATGTCGGGTACGAAATGCAAATAAAGTTATAATTTGAATATTTATTATACATTAGAATACATTAAGAGTCGCTATCAAACGGAATATTTTGATGCCATATTCTATAAATAAAAGTTTAAAATATTATAGTTAGACACCTGTTTTGTTTAAATATTTATTTTTTGTCGACACAGATTTTGTGATAATGTATGTACATAAAACCCCATGATTCATGTTTCTATACCTTACTTATTAAAAGTGTTCTGAGGAAAAAAACAATGGTATAGATTCTGAGGTACCTTTATAAACTCTAAATCTCTTCGTGTAATTACTGTTTTATGAAACATCATAAACTAAATATATCATAATTTGGACTTAAATCTAGAGTATTAGAAATGTAGTTCATATTGAACCTACGTATAAATATTTTACTGTAATAATAAATTAAAATTTTTATTGTAGAGTCAGTTTAGAGCAATGGCGTCACAGAATCGGCCCAATAATACATACTTGTAGATATAATACAGCATTACTGCAGTCGAATCCGTAACGTAAATACGAAACCACTTAAGTAAACGTCACATTCGATGTCTATATATGTACATATGTGACGGAAAATTAATGAACTCACTGTGTTTTTGTCGTTCCCGACAATTGTTTTGACTTCATCCGGAAGTCTTCAGGGAGCGTTTGGCGCTTTACGTCACAGCGTCTCGCCTCAAAAAATGAACAAAAGTTTTAAAAAATCATTATTGATTTTTTAAAACGTTTATACGTTACATTTTGTGCACATTTTATAAGTATTTTTCAACACGTTTGACCAGACTGGCTGTTTAATTAAGTTTTATTAATTGTGTTGTATTTTTGATGCCCCTTATTTGATCGTGACTGTACACCTTGAGTTTTTTTTACACCGTTTGAACTTTATCTTATTTTGCACCCACGATACAAGTTTTATTAAGTCTTCTAGAAATCTAAATTAGAATATATTTTAACTCAGTGTTCATAATAATATTAAAGTCAATCTAAATTAAGTTAACCTGAGCTGCACTCGCAATACAGTTAATCAAAATAGACATAAGTCATAAATGAAAAATAAAAATCTATTTTGCTTCTTCTATATTAATTAAAAATATTATTTAATTTATAAAAGTGATATAGAGTTATTTTAACCTAATATAAAAAAACGAATGCAATCACATTCTTATATTTACAATCAGATATCAAATTAATCACTATTAATTTGATACGTCAAAAATAATATGTAACATATAAATTTTGTTCAGTGTTAAAATAGTTCGTTCGTTGATTCGTTCGTTTCGTATGACCAACATGGAAGTATCTATATTCTGTCAAATATAATCAATTCGGAACTGGTAAAACTAAATCCATAATATAGAAAAAAACGTTTCAAATTTCGAACCCCTTTCGTTTAAACATTGATATTATCCAAACAAGCATATTCTAACGAATCCAAAAATATTTATTAGAAATTGTAATATTTACTTAATATTATAAATGTAAAAGTGAATTTGTTTATTCTTACTTTACAGCACCTTAAAGCTTTATCCAATCAGTATAAAATTTGCTTTACATGTACTATATGGCATAGAAGCTTCCTTCAAAAGAGGGAGACTTGGTAGACGGGCTGCAAACCGCAGTTAGGTGATAATTTAAATGAACAGTGTTTAATTTTTATTAATAAAAATACATGAAAGATAGAAATATACAATATTATCTCTTTATCTTAAAATCTTATTCCTTAAATTACTAAAACTAAATTATTTATATAGTAACAAGCCTAACAATATAAGAATCGTTCTTACCGAGTAGTAAAGATCTCTTCTGTCTGTTCTGTTCTCCCTCAGGCACGATCACCTCGAACTCCTGAATGTCATTGGGTTGGAGCGCAGTCAACAGGGGGCCATGCTCTGCCGCGAGGGAGACTGCACACGCCACCAGCACGGCGAAGATCAGGGTGCAAAACTTCATTATTATCTAAAATGTTGATATATTTTTTAGAATTTCAATAGAAATACATGCATTGAAAACGATACAAGCGATAGGTTTTGACTTTAGAATAAAAATATTTTTTATTCAAGTACGAGTATCTTAATTGTAAGGTCTTGAATTGTAATTTTCAAAAATTTATCATTTCCTATTAATTCCATCATCCCAGATATATATTTAAACAAATGCCACAATTATACTGTAGAGCATAGTTAATTTCGGGTAAATTTCAATTCAAGTTCCTATATAAAGTTTTTGTCCAAAAAAAATTAGAGTATTAACAAAAACTAAAATATACGAAACGCTTATCTTTTATATAACTTGAGATACTTTTAATGTATATATATTTGTTTATCTGTTTATCTTTATATCAATCCATAAGCACGCTTTATGTATTATAAAGATTTAGATTCAGGTAGGAAGTCAAGTGCCTTCAAGATCGTTATTACATGCATGATTGGATATCCTATATAAATAAAATGCATTCGGCTCTGACTGTCTGCCCTATATATTTATCGCATAAGGAACTGGGTATAAATAAATAGATTACAACCTCAACTATTTTAAGTAGTTTTTAATTAAAAATTTACTTTATTTGGAATGACCAAATACAACAAATGTATGGCTTAAAAATAGCTCAATGAACTAAATGGCCTATTATGTCGAATGTCTCTAATTGTTATATTATTATTTAAAGCTATATAAGAAATATATAAGACGCAATAGCAAGCTTAGGTATATTGAGGACTAACCTGTTTGTTTAATGTGCGGCTAGCACACTACAGCAGGCACGAAAAATACTGTCCAGCGAAATCCTAATGGTGTCTTTTATAGGTCGACTATCGGAACGCACACGTAAACATTATACCAATATCGATATAATATTATGTCATTGCCCCATGGAACGCATGTAGCCGCCCCGCTGGCGTATGGCAATAATATTAGGTACGTATATATTATTAAGTATATTATTAGGTATAATATTAGGTAGGCCTAGTTCCAAAAGTTCAATATTCAGTAGACGTTACAACAAACATTTGTTAAGGCGCATAGTTAGCGAACAGGGAAGCTTGGGAATTCCTTAGTTGGTAATAATCTAAAATAGAATGCCTATATTGGATAACAGTATGTTAGAAGAATATATCTACCAGCATGTCGTGACCGTGACTTCTTTTGCGTGTTAGTTAGAAATGAAAATTTTTAAAATGAGAATTGTTCTTTATTTATTGTTAGAGAGGCAAACAAGTAGACGGTCGGTGATGGAAAGCAGCTACCGTCGCCCATAAACACTTGCAATACGAGAGGAGTTGCTAGTGCGTTGCCGGCCTTTATCATGAATAACTTTCGATACCAGACAGAGTACATTTTTTTAAATTCCCCAGGTGATAATAGGGTGATTTTCGGAACCGGTATTAGGTACTTACATTATCTGATTATTCTTCATAATAGCCTTATTGTTCTCAGGTACCCTTCAATATAAATTAACGATAATAATGTAAAATTAATCCGTCCTTCAATTTCAACGCCCTCGGGCTGCGCTCGACCGAATGAGGACTCCAAACTCCAACCACTTTTATCAAATGAGCCGTCTGCTTGTTTACTATTTCAAGTTGTATAAAATATTACACTTTATTCTGTTTTGTCTTTATTTTCTTTATTATTATGGAAATATTATTCAAATTCATTCAATTATTTTATAACGGCAATAATGGTGTATTAATAATGAATAAATAGTCCTATAAAGATATGTAAATAAATAATGCAATTAAATTATGAATAAAAAGTATTGAAAAGATAAATATGGAATAAGGTTAGCCATACTTAAATATTACATACTTATTTAAATATTGTCGTATAATAAATATCTAATAGTCAATAAGTCTCTTCTTCACAATAAAACCCTCTGAATACTACTTATCCCAGCTCACATGAGATCGTATTTATGTAAAATACATCGTAAATGCAGATAGACTTCCTTGGGATAGACTATTTGCATGATCAGTGATCTATTTTAGTTAGTAATAAACCTTACTAATATTAGAAATATAAAAATGAGTTTGTTCATTCGTTATTTCTTTGAGCCTTATCGGCTTGACAAACCATGAAATTTAGTATAGGTACATATTGTATTTGAGACAGAGAACAAAGACTACTTTTTATCCCGGCCATACTGAAGAAATGCAAAATATTTAATAATTCAATGTTTTTTTTCTTTTATATTTCGTTATATTTCTTTTAAACTCTTATACAGTGATATCATTGGATATCATTTGTCCATTTATATCCACAATGATGACCCTAAATAAATTATCAATAATGAAGGTGAATTACTTATTACTTATTCTACTATAATAAGAAAATGGAAAATATTGAGATAGAATGGTAGGCGAATATTTTTTTTATATACAACTTAGAATGGCAAACAAGCTGACGGTCCACCTGATAGAAAGTGGTAACCGTCGCCTATAGACATGAGCAGTATCATGGACATAACAGAGTATACTGATTCGCCCATGATACCCCCCCCCCATGCTTTGCCATTCCTGAGGACTCAAGTGTTATTCCACTGTACCCTGTAAATTCACGCCATATCCCACCCTTCAAACCGAAACACAGCCATGCAAACACAACTGCTTCACGGTTGAAACACGAATGGAACAGAGGTACCTAAGCAATCGACTTTTGTACAAAGTCTCCCTCGATACGGATAGGTTATATCCTAAATTAGAACATAAGATATTTCATAAAGTTATCTACGTATATGATCGAATGACGAAGCCGCGAGCTACAGCTAGTCATGTCATTGTAGTAAAATACCATTGACATATGTAAGTATATTGTTGTTGTTATACTTTATCATAAAATAGCTTAGCTAGTAAAATATATTATTGATATTTTACTAGCCATACTCCAGTATATATAGCAAGGGGTTATGGGGAAGATTTATGTCCAGCCGTGGACAGTCAACGGCTGAAATAATAGTAATAATAAAATTTAACATGAACTGTATCATAAACAAGTTAGTCCATTAAAACTACAAGTACTTTCCTTAAAAACAATTTTATTAAATTACAATTAATCGATATGAAAAAATTTCAATTGCTCCTATTCAAATGGAACATTTGCCATTGCTTTTATTCTGCCTACTCCCCGAGACGACATTTATATATGTATGTGTGTAAATGGCATAAGTATAGATAACAATACACCGACATGCAACTAACGTATACAAATAATAATACCTAATGGTTTACTTGTTTATCTATATACGGAACCATATAAATACTTCTGATAATGGTACAAGATCCATTAACTTGACGAGAACATGAAAATTTTCAATCAATCTAATTCAAATCTAGTTTATTTTACAGATTGTCTTGTGAATGTTGCAATAATCGCTTCAAACTATTGTGATGCTACGAGTATTATTATTTCTTTAATATGGTAAGAAACTGGTTATTTGCATAATGTTACTCTATACTAATAATAACACTCCTCTGCAAAAAAGAACGAGCATTTAATAAAAAAAAAGGTTAAACATTTATAATTTATTCTAAAAATATTCAATAGATATAAGAATTTTTAGTGTCTTCACATTTGATCTTTTTTCTTGTTACATGTTAAAATTTACTAACTTGTTATAATGTTAAATCGTGATTGAATCCGGAATGAACATATCCAAGACATACCAAATTGAATGAAATAACCCGAAGAATAAGCTGAAGTGGATTGCCACAAAACGGACCATAAACTCTAATAACTTAAAAGTGGTGGGGAAGAAAAATTCTCAGAAAGCAACCACGTAAGGCAAACTTAGTACAGAACAATCTCCACTGAATGTAGTGACGAAAATGGATAGACGACATGTTGCAAGGAAACAGGTGAGGCAAGAGATTTTGGATCATTTCTTATGGCAATCAGAGGTGGGCAGGCATGAAGGAAACCTACACGCAATTATAGATAATAAAGAACGATAGATTCACTTATATATTTGACAAAATTGGAAGTCAACCTACGCAAACTTCTAATACAATCTCAAAAAAAGAGATGCAACTCTTAATTCCAACTCATGGTGGCTTATTCTCTTAGTAAAATAGGGAGACTTTGTATAAAAGTCGTCTATATGGTCATGTCTGTCCCACTTATATTTCAGCTGTTAAATATCTATACTTGCATAGTTGTGTTCCAATTTAAGCGATATAGCAGTGAAATTATAAGGCATTGAGACATAATACTTTAGCCCTCAGAAATGACAATGAGTAAAGGATATCATGAGAATCACAGTGCATTGTGTAATGTCTACAGTACTGTTCATGTCTATAGACGACGGTTACCATTTCTCATCAGATAGGACATCTGTTTGTTTCTTTAAATTACATAAACAAAATGTAATATTCGTAAAAACCATAATTGCATGTGTCTTTTTTTTATAAATGCGTTTATATCCTTGTGTGAACTTGACTTCACATTGAAAAACAGATCAACAAACATTATTATGGATATTTATATTATAACCTTCGTAATACAATGATAGGTACTTTATATAACTGAGGTATTGATTCTCGGCCAAACTAATTTTAGAAAAAATCTCATAATCCTTACTTTATATTTTAATGTGAAAGTGTGTTTGATATTTGTTAGTGCCTTAACGACTTTACAAATTTTAATGAAATTTGGTATGCAAATAATAGGTATAAGGAATGGAGAAGGACACTACTTTTTATCCCGTCCAGTGAACATATCCCGATCACACAGCAAAGTCGCGAGTAAATACTTCTTTAGATTACTGACTTTAATTTTAGTTATCTATTATTGTATTATATCTAATGGAGTACAAGAATAATCATAATCATTTACTATCCTTTTATTTGTCTATCCTGTTTTTTTTTTATTTATGTTTTACTTTACAGTAATCTTCCTACTTTATATTAAATGTATCGTCATGTTTGGCATTAACAATAACAAAAATATTATAAGTATATAGGAAATCTAGATTTAAGAAAAACAATATGATCTATTTACATATATAGTAAATTCTATTAATATTCATTCTATTCATTTCACTTATTTCATAACAATATACATTGTTGTTAAAATATTAATGTCATTCATAAATTCATATTACATAATTGTGATTTTTAAATAAATAAATTAGATAACGACTGACTTGACATTTTTTATAAAGAACTAATATTTTTCAATTCACCTATTTAAGCGTGACTGAGTATAATATTATATAGACATCCAAATATTTCTACAAACTTTAATATTTACATAGATGAAGTATAACGTACTTACGAAGTGACACATTTATATACTTATTATTAAACGAGCAAGTAGTAATTTTTTTTAAAACTATATTCCACTATTGAGAATTCATTATATAATTATTTACTTACATATATTATTGTTATTATTTGTCATTTGCCCTCTCTGTTTAACGTAACGATTGACTGGTTGAGAATGCCATCAGGCATTAAATCCGCCTTGTTGTTTACAAGTTTACTTTAATATGTGCAAAAGTATAAATAAATATAAACAAAATATAAACGTATTACTATTGTAATCACAGTCAACATAACAAGGATCGTGTAGTGAAAACCACACTGGAATTTTCCTATATTCAATTGAAAGGTTCGAAGGTAGGTTTCGTTGGGAATTTAATGGTTTAGGTATATTGGAATATCTAATACTAAACTGTATCACTAATTTTAGACTTCGTATACGACATTAATAAAACTATGTCGATAGTTAGCTATATAGAAGCGGTTTCCTACTAATATTACAAATATGAAAATTTGTACCTAACTATGTTTGTTACTAAATTACACTTAAACTTTTGGATGGAATTGAATGAAATTTAGCTACATTCTAACTAAACACATAGGATGCATTATATATTATTTCACGCAAACAAAACCACGAGATACAACTAAATGCTAAGTTGTATCTATCTTATCCTTACTAATATTATAAATGTGAAAGTGAGTTTCTTTATTGCCTTATAGCGCTTACTTAATCACTATGTATATATAAAGATATACACATGCTATAAAAAAGGATATAGTTTACTTACTTACCCGGACAATAAATATATCCTGGTGATACAGACAAAGTCGCAGTTAAAAGCTAGTTAATATAATATATCAGAAAGTTTGTAAAAATAGATGGGTGGATGGATGTTTGTTACTCATTCACGCAAAAACTACTGAACGGATTTAAATGAAATTTCGTATACGGGTAGATTATTCTAAATTAGCACATAGAGTACTTTATGTTCTTATTGACGCAAGTTAATCCGCGTAATACGGCTTAAAAATATAAATTTAAATAAGTTATAAATATAAATATATCTTCAGGTACGAATTTCGTTTATTTATTGTACTTAACGATGTCTCCATAAAATTTCAAATTTGGAATACTATTAGTATTTATGATAGATGAGATGGCTTATCTTCCATACGTCTACTATAGATGTAACCCTATCTTATTATATTAAACATATATTTTTGTGTCTAATATTTTAAGTCCATTTATCAATATGTTGCAGTCATGCTAACGAAGTCGCGAGCACAGCTTGTATATTATATTTCTAATCAATCGGTGAATATCACTTTTAGATCCGGTTGGATTTTACGCATTTGCTCTTTCCAAATTTAATCAGTTATATTAGAAGTGATTCACACCCAAAAAATGTAAATCAAATAGTTAATGTCAGTAAACCGTATGTATTTTATTGTATAAAGTTGATATATCATGGACAGGGTAATACTAAAGAAATTATAATATTAATATTTACAAATATACGATTTTTTTGTGGTGTGATATCTGCACCAATTCTACATATTTACCATCATTTTTATTACAATCGGCAAATATTCTCATCATATTTAGCCTAGCCTTTAAGTGTCCACTGTTGAACATAAGCCTTCTCCATAAGGGGAGTTTTGCCAGTTGCGGCCAAGTTTAGAAGACGGGTTGCCAAAGGCAATAAGGCTTTTAGTGATGTTTTAAAAAGGACGCTGCTGCCTATCCCTATACCTTTAAATTCCCTTAGTCACCTCTTAGAACACCCATGAGAAAAGAAGGGCTGCCTATTCTACGCCGGAACTACAAGGCTTTCATGTTGACCCCATAACAATTATGTCAAGATTAAGGTAGGTTTATTCGGAATAAAAATTTTAAATTTAATAATTTAAATTTGTTTCAAGAAGTTCAAAAAGCAAAATAATCATATTTTTAAAATATGCACAAAATAAATGTGCTGATTAAACTGTTTTATATATTAACTCTGATAGAAAGTTATTGTATGTATATAACTAGACTAAATTCGTCAAATTCATAATTTATGACATTTTCTGAGATATCTGTGACAGAGTAACAGATTTGCGAATAATTTAATAAATAAGGTAGAAAAGAAGAAACGTGAGCAAGAGTTTAGATTTTTCTAGTGTTGGCATCATAAATAATAATTTATAAAATGTATAAAATATTTTTTATATATGGTAACATTTTCTCTTCTGTCAACCAACACTGTTGGAAGTGCATATCTCCCTCTGTACCGTACATATTTAAAATAAAAACTAATTCAAAAGAGGTCCCTATTTTTAATTTATACGACCCTACAACAATACCCTGTGACCTGGGACCGAAGAAGCTAGAAGCCGACAAGTTACAGTTCATGCTCATAGTTTTTATGGTGAGCACCGTCTAGTACTTACTACAAGAAGTAAGAGTCAACTAAGAGAACTTAATGATCGAGGGAGGAATTACAGGAAATCCTTTCAAGGAGGAGGCCTATGTTCAGCTTTGGACAGTAGACAAATTAATTCAAAGGAGGTCTCCATTTTTAATTTGTACGACCCTACAACAATACCTTGCGACCTAGGACCGAAGAAACTAGGAGCAGGCAAGTTACAATTCACGGTCATCGTTTTCATGGTAAGCATCATCTAGTATTTACTACAAGAACTAAGTAAGAGTCGACTAAGGGAACTTAATGATCGAAAGTGGAATTACTGGAAAACCCCCCAATGAGGAGGCCTATGTTCAGCTGTGGACAGTTAACGGTTGATATGGTGATGATAATGATATTATATGACGTCTTATTTTTATCCAACTATATTGAGAACGACCTTTGTTTTGAGGAACGACTTTAATAATGTCTGTGCTTCCCAATTCTTAGGTATATATTATATGTATTACTTAGAGAAAGACTAAGATTAAAGTCAAAGGGTTAAGAAGCACTGTAAATTTTTATTGTTATATATAAATAAGTATAATGTATAATTATTTTTCATGGTTTTTTGTAGGAACAAAGATGCAAGGTTTTTTCAACGTATTTATACCTACGAGAATAATAACTTTTAGTACATTAAAAATTACAAAAAAAAAATCATCACAAAATTCTTTTCATATATCAGAAATATTTTCATAAGTATAGTATTAACAATCTAATATCTCTGTACAAAGACTAAATGTACAAATTACTCCAAGTAAAATACGAACTCATTGCTTTTCTCAATAATTTTCATCTTTTACTGTAGAATTATAAATTCTTAAATTATAAGCTAAAAATTGTCTGAAAGTAATAAAAATTGTTCGCATATTTTTCTAAATGGTAATAAACGCTTGAAATTCTAGACTGTTTTAATTTTGAAACGCCGATTTCAATAAGAAAGTCCCGCTTCAAAACAAAGGTCGTTTTCAATACAGTTGAATAAGAATAAGACGTCATATACTTTGTAGTAGTTATTTAGAAATAGATACGAAAGAGTATTTCGTGAACTATTTTGCTTGTAATTATTCATTACATAGAATAAAAATAGTACCTGCATTATGAACATGACATCGATTAAAAATTAGTTTTTAAAAAAGGAATTACATTATAAATTAATTTTAAAAATTAAAAAAAAAACATTTATTACTAATAAAAAGTTTATTTATTTGTTATAAATATTATAACAAACACTGTCACCAGTAACACTATTGGTACATAACCTGTTGCAGTTGTATTTACAAATTGATTTTATTTGTTTTTTATTGTTATGGCATTATTATTATAAACGTAAAAACATAAATCAACATACTGATTTTACACATAATATACCTATGTTATTTACAATCTACGCAAAACATTGAAGTACATATAAAGCAGTGTTTCTTAATATACCTATATTATGTGTAACAAAATTATATCTTTAATTTTATATAAGTAAATATATAATCGTAAGTAACATTAATACGTATTGTAAAAATAGAGACTAGGTATTTTTTATTTACGTTCGACGTGAAATCAATTGTTGCTCTTTGTAATATGAAATTGTATTCAGGCAATAACAAACATTTTGACGAATACTACGAAAAAGCATACCACTGTGTAAGTGCACATTAAAGCATCAATTACTTAAAATAGCTACAACTTAAATATTGACTACACTGCTTGAATCCTTTTGATGTTTCTCGGACGTTGCCAGAAAACTTCAAAGTTATGTTTTTTTAGCCCCAACTGCAAAAAAAAAGACAAAGTTTAAACCAAAAAATGTAGTGTTCTATATACACTGTACATCAATCTACATATAATAAGTAACTGTATATAATAAAGTATATACAGATGTCTACAGATTATAAAGAACGCTAAATAAGGCTAAGTAAGGCTAAAAAATATGAGAAAAATTAGTTGCTAAAGTAATGTAGGCAAGCAATAATTCTTAGAAAATTTATCTCTGACTGTGTAAAGTTAAGATAAATTAGTTAATTACGTAAAACTTATATTTGAAATTCCGATTATTTGCAAAATAATTGATAAATCTTATTATAAATGTGAAAGTTTGTAACAATGATCAAATTTTTTAATATATTTTTTACACGAAATTTTGAATGAAAGGTACACAAACTATATATTATATCCTAATTTACACAAACAAAGCCACAAATAAACCTAGTCATTGCATTTTTAAATCGGATTTTGATAAAATACATAATCAAGAATGGTCTCATCGAATCCTTACCTATTTTTCGAATCGGAGTTAATAACAATTTAAATCCTTATTATTATATTTGTTATACATTAATAATTTATCTATTAACGATAATCTATAAGCACTATCTTAACTACTTGCATGAATAAATAATATTATATACACCTATAATTCATAATATTATTTCTACAAACTAGAGTCATTGAGGGATCACATATTCTATTAAGTAAGTAAAAAATTAATCAGTAATAAAAACTAAACGATATTTCATTGAATAACAAAGAATATACTATTAAAGAATTTGATATCGTCTATATTCGATATTTTAATCAAATTCTTTTTAGCGTGTCGATTATTGAAATCCTTTTGGTCGTTTTATGTTTATAAACACGTATTAGTAACATAAGATAATAATAATAAAATTAAAATAAGTTTGGATTTTCTATCATTTTATTTGTACCTATATATAGATGACATCATTAGAGTAATAAACCGCATTCTTTAAAGAGTAGATATAAAATTTGGGTTTATCCAAAGGCAAATATTTCGTCTCTATAGACCAGCAAAGCTTTCTCACAGATCATAAAATATTTAAAATATAATAATTAAGTGATAAGCATTAAGGAATCCGGTTTCTTAAACAATTGATTTTAGATTGATTTATTATTAACAATTCAATTATAAAGATCTTTATTTACTGGCTCCAGCATATAAAAAAGGTGCTGTTTTAAACCTCACCCACTAGAAATTATTCAATTACTTGATAATTATTACAATAATATGGTTTTCATATTTTAATAATATTTGTAATTAATTTATCTTTTCCTGTTTTGCAAACAATATAATATTTTTAATTGTAACATATTATACGTATACAACTACAGATCAAAAATTTTATTTAAAAAAATTTTTGATCTGTTTTTGAAGATTGTAAGATTTCAGAATGCTCTTCCTATTATAAAACTTAAGAAGAACATAATCCTCTATAATAGGAAAGCTTGAAGAGTATCGTGGGAGCCACAGTATATACTGTGACTCCTACGTATTTATGGTACTGTACAAATCTATAGAAAATGTTTATCGCTTATTATCAGATAGTCCGTCTACTTGTCGTCCTAATTACTACTATTCTTTCTATAATAAATATCAATGACAAATAAAAATCGCGAAAAGTTAAAATAATAATATTAATTATGATAATGTCATCAATATATTACTCAGGTTGTTTTAAAATAGTATTAATTAATGCAGTAGTAATTAATTAGTGCTTCATAATAATTATTCCTTCCATCTTCATTTTGGTACTAGTCGTTTCCAGTAGATTCGATCACATGAACCCATTATCCCCATTCTCGTGGAAATTCCTTATTAATGCTCACCTACGTTACATAATAAACTATTTTAGAAAATTTATCATTTATGAACCCACCGCTTTTTTTCCAATAAGTGAAAATAGGATTCTAAATGCGCCTGTGCTATTGATATATGCTAGCGGAATATCAGTAAGTGATGACAAGTGACGATGAAAACGAGTTAGTTAACCCAAAGCTTTGCAGTTTTTTAATATATACATTGTTTAATAAATTTTTAGTAACGGGGCTAACAGCCAGTTTGCAAATCAATGTTCACACATCCACTCTAGAAACCATCATGATTATTTTTTAATGAATTAATCATGATACGTCAACTGAACTATTATCATCCTCACATATCATCACTTACTGGTACCCCACCAGCATATTCTAATAGGGCAGGTTACCACTCCATTTATAACCTGTTTTATATAAAACATACATTGCGACAAAAAGAAATATTAACGAAGTAAACATATGATTAATATATTTAGATATTAGGAGTAAATAAGGTCAAATATTACTTTGTATTCTAATCACGCGAACGAAGTCACGGACACTTATACCGTGCTTATAGCTTATTTTATAAAAATATGTATATTTATCCAATTGTAGACAATTAATAAAAATTATAAAATACCAGTCAAACGGTACGATCATATTTCAAATAAATCGATGAGAAGTCATCAACTTACAAAGACATTTAAATAAAAAAATATTGTGTAAAGTTATGAAGTGAAGGTGAAGCAAGATCACAACACTACTACACACCATTATTGTTTTGTGTCGAATATCAAAGTTCAATAATACTTACCGCTATGACAATGTTTATTCACATTGTCTACGAACGACACAATTTGGCACATGGTCAATGGATCTGATCGATAAGGTCAATCTCTCTTCACATACGAGTAAAGCTTACTGATCCAAACTTAACTTTAGCTTGACACAACAGTTAGTGAAAATTCTAGCAATTGTGTCATATCATGTCATTAGTAGAATAAAGAGGTTTTTAAGCGACAACTATAATAAAGAGATTCTCAATTCGTCTAATTTTTTTTTTTTTTTTGTAAATACGTACACGATTACTGAGCCAATTCTGAATCGATTATATTTTATATATTAATTTTATGACGAAAGTGATGTAAAATTAATACAAAACTAAAGGATACAATCCAGCGATTACAAAAAGAATTGTAATAATTTAAAATTGTGCCTTACAAAAAACACCGATTTCAATCATGGTTAAAACTAGTTTTTTTTTTATGCAACTTAGAATAACAAACAAACTGATGGCCCACCTAATGGAAAATGGTAACCGTCGCCTATAGACATGAGCAGTACCGTGGACATAACAGAGTATACTGTTTCGCCCACGATACCCCCCATGCGTTGCCATTCCTGAGGACTTAGGTGTTATTCCTCTGTGCCCTGTAAATTCACTGTGATATCCCATCCTTCAAACCGAAACACAGCCATGCAAACATAACTGCTTCACAATAAAAACACAAATGGGACAAATGAGCCCAAACAAACATAAAAAAATATACAACCGAATTAAGAACTTCCTCCTTTTTGAAGACGTTTGAAAATCTGTTAAGAATTGACGACGTTGTCATACCTAATATGTATGTTCAATAGATGCAAAAAATTCAGACGATATTGGGAACTTCTTTTGAAATACGCTTATGAATAGATACTAATCGTTACAAAAAGCAATTCATGCATTACAGATATAAGTAAAGCACTATAGTAAGCTAGGTACATTATCTCGGCAGCATCTATGTCAATGATGTGTTAAATTAAATACTAGAGACAACGTTGCGAAAGTATTTAAGCACATAGTTTAATAAATAAATAATTAGATATTGCATTGCTAAAACCGCACAAAACTAATAGAATTGCAGGAAGAATGACGCATGAGCATTATTATAGCTACGGGATTAGAATTATTTTTAATCCATTAGTTCTAATTGTGTGCCATTAGTACTAATTGTACATATCACACACACACACACACACATATATATATATATATATATATATATATATATATATATATATATATATATATATATATATCACAGATATTATGTATATGAGATCACGAACATTTGGTGTGGTACCTCTTGTTACGTAATTCAATAAAAAAAAATCTATTTATATCAGTCTAAAATTAACTGCTAAGTAACTAAATATGTACGTGTAAATATAAACTGTTTTTTTATTAGTTTGGTTAAACTGTATATTTATGAGTTTGGTTTATTTTTTTTTCAGAAATAACAATGCATATAATGAACAAGATAGAATAAAGAGATTTTTTGTTGATTGATTCATTTTAATGCCTTATTTTTTTAACACTAATTTCTAGTTATAAGCCAAAATTTATATGCCAAAATTATATAGATAAAATATAGTGTAGAGATAGAATTATATGTACATCCTTATTAACTAAAAAAACAGTGCTCTGCAACATACGTGTAAATACTACTAACCCTAATAATATACCCTAATACTACAAATTAAATATTACCTCACGTGCTGTCTAAATTAATAGTTCAATAACCTAAACTCACCGATGAATTTCTACAACGTCGTACTTCGGACTGTGATAAATTTGTCTGTAAAATATTTTAATATTAAAACAAAAATAACCTGCTGGATGATTGAATATTAATACCTATAGCTGTTGAAGATAATAAAAAATTAACACCAATATTGTGATTTCGTTGATATGTAAAATTATATACGACTTTTATAAGTACCAAATAATTATAATACATTATATGTACTTGATAAATATTTAATATACATTAATTCGTTAGTTATTTACGATATTAAAAGTTATTAATACAATTTATTAATATTATATATATGGAATGGGAACAGTGAATGCAGACAACACAAAATATGCAGAGATTAGGCACATTATTACAAAGGCTCAACAATTAATCATTTCGCCCCATTTATCCGAAACTTAGTGATAATATTCATTCACGAATTTTGCCTAAGGAAATGGGTCGAAATTTCTTAGGTACTTCAACCTATTTACTTTGAACCCCCATAAACTTTGGAACTTTGTTTGTAATCTGTCCATCTGTCGACGGTATATTACTAGTACTTAGATTTGTGAGATAATTTTATACTAATAATTAGTTAACCAAAATTTTTACCTTTTACACATTTTTATGTAAGAGAAAAATTAAGCTTATCCTATTCTGACAAAAAATTGGACAGCCAATTTGTCATGATGAAAGAAAATAAGTATTTTACAAGTATTATAGTACAGATTTCAATCCATTTTCCATATTCTATGTACATACATACAGTTGAATTCTGAATCATCAAATGTATCTATTCTTTATGTATTCAAATAATTAAGACAATATGGTATGTATTGTGGATTATGTCTTACTACCATAGTATACAAAGTATAGCCCTCCATAGTCTCATAGCGGCCATGGCTTTCCTCTCACACAGGTTCGAGTGGTTAGTTAATTACGGACCTACTCCTTGCAATCGTAGTTTACAAGCCAAGACTCGTCTTCATATTCAAATAGTGTAATAACGACCTTAAATGGCTCTAATAACCATAAATATATCTAATACCTAACATTAGGTTTTATTTAATCAATATATAATAAAATACAAGATTAATAAGTTTTATATTTTTGCTTTTCAATGTCTAATTCTTTTTACATGATTATTTGTTGATGTTAAAATTATTTCACTTGATTAGATACTTCTGTGCCATATACATTAACTGATTAATTACAAATTATTTTCTTTTCATTCTAAAAATTAATATTTCTGATTGAGATTTTTACCGCGTAAGTGTTATTTCACTTAATCAATATCCAATACTAATCACAAAGAAACATTACTTTTTTTACTTGAAAGTAATGGACAGAAAATATGCTACAGACTAGGCTGTATGGACTGCCTTTCTTTGCGTTCATCACAAGAGAATGAATGTAAAAAAAAAAATACTTTTAGAATGAAAAGAGGATGGATTGTTAGAATGTTAGTTCACTCCACCTGTCCGTGTAGGTTACGGTGACTTTAGGTGTTTGTGGTACCGACTTTGCTTTTTTAAGGGCTAGTGCACCAACTCCAGCGCCCACTGCTCCTATTTTAGCTGCCTTCAATCCCAGAGCCCCTGAAAAAAGAACGTTACACAATTTATTTGCAACTTGATCTAATTATAAATACCTACTTTACTTACTAAGATGACTTAATTTAAGTGGCATGGATCCAAGAACGTGATTACAATAGGATCCATACGGAAGCGCCATCTCCTATCTTTAAAATTACAATTTCAGTTGAACGTGACAGCGAAATCTTTATTACAAAAACCAAAGCTAAATCAATATAAATAAACGTTATTGTTAGATATTATTTACCAATTAGGGAAAGTTGGTAAAATTCATCATACTGGTATTCCGTATTTGTATGTATTCTGGAGTATAACTGATAATCAGACGATAGGAATGACATAATAATTTACACATGTACATGTACTTCATTATTTTAATTACATCACCACATCATAATATCAAATGACCATATACGCTTCTCTAATATTATTAACGTATAAAGTGCTTCAAAGAATTTATACCCATCCTAAATAGTACATGTATGTCTTTAGTGACGATTGGTTAACCTACTAAAACTCTAAGAAGTAAACAAAAAAACGCTTTTTGGCATTTTTGAATTTTGAAGATCGATTTACAGAATGACACTTCAGAATAGATCCTATTGCTTTACCCCATAACCTTCAAGATACTAATGTACCAAATAGACATCAACAGCCAGCGTTGCCAGATTGGGTATATTTTTCGTAATTTTGGGTAAAAAATTACTGTTCTCGAAATTTTGAAGAAATAAAATTCTTGTAGAATCCCACTTGGATGGGCTTAGAGAAATTTGGATATTTTTTTGGAATATTGAGTAATAATTTTAATATTTGGAAACTGTACAGGTATATAAGGTACAAATAAACAGACGACACTTTACATAATTTACTGTGTTAGGTGTTGTTTTTTTGTCATTCGCTTTGTGGTACATAGCAAAACTTAATAAAAATACTATACAAGTTTGTGATTGGGTAAAAATCCTGGAAATTGTACCGGTTTGGAGAAAAAATGTTTTATATTTGAGTAAAAATCTAAACTCAAATTTGGCAACCCTGTCAACAGCGGTTACCAAACTTTGTCTTTATCCGTCATACATATACGTAAATTACTGGAACAAATGGTTCCACTGAATATTTTAGAATTCTCCAATTTTATTACCCATATCATAGCTACTCAGGTAAATCTATAATTCCGGTTCGCGTCTCTGGCTATAAATTGTTAGTGCACTCAATATGATTATTATCTTTATTGCCATCTTTTGATGTTATACTTTATTTATATTTATAAAAGATATCTAGGCTTCGCTAAAATAAAATTGACTGAATATAGTGTCCTTTAAAAATACTAAGTAAATATAAAAAAATCCATAACCATATTTTTCTTTACGACTTGGTTACAAAATATCAACTTATCGTAAAGAAAAAAAAATTTTTTCTCATATATTATCAACACAGAGATATGCTTGTTTTACAACAAAAACCCTTAGGGGATGTATGAACTGAACAGTTACTTATTATTAATGTTATGCCATATAAATCAATCAGTCTCATGGAAGTTTTTAGCTTTCGCCAGTTACTATGTAAATACGTATTTGGGTCATAAGATTTTATTAAATTTCGTTAGTAACTTGATATTTTTACAGAAAATCTAAATAATTGGTATAAACTTCAGCTTAATTACTTTTTCGGCTAATCTCACGAAACAGGGCCTTAACAAGCATCCAGACGTATAAAAAACTGATTATGTAAAAGTTACGTTCACCTTATTGAGTACAGAACCCTAACAATTACTGAAATTAACGTAGCATATATTTTTCATTTAATTACCTAATTGAAATTGATTTCTTTCACTCTATGTAGTTAATTGGTTAATTATTATTATTTTGTTGTCGTAATAATGATAAAACCGTATATAAAAAATCATTTTTATCATCAATAAACATTTTAAAAATTTCAAGATGCCGTGGGACGAAAAATATACGATGTATCTATTATATGTTTACTATGTTATACTATGTTTAGTCGTAATTTGGTAAGTACCTCCTTAATAAAATTGATATACATAATTTGAAGCTAAGCTTAGCTAATAGTGAATACAATACAATACATTAGTATCCTACCCATTAGGATTTTAAGAAAAATTGTAATAGATAAATTATTTTAAACAAAAACTTAAGAATTCGCAACACATATATATGAGCGATACATTATATTTTGTGATGTACTAATATTATTTATATTTATAAGCGTCAGGTAGCTATCAAGGGCCTATACTTGCGATCAATTTCTTTTTCAACACTAATATTATAGAAGTACTTAAAAAACCTACTTTTCAAATATCAGTTACTTCCATATATATATTAATATATAGTTAACTGTCCAAACTTCTATTGCTTATAATAAACACGAGACCCAAACATGAAATACTGGCAACATTTTGCATAGTGATATCACATAGTACATATGTAAACAATTCCAAGTATACTCGTATATTCACGTACAGCCGGCCATCAGATATGCTAAACTGGCAATGACCCTAATAACCAGTCCTCTGAGTTTTCTATATTTAACCTTGATTATTGTGTTTAACAAATAATGAATAATCGAACAATTTCTCTCTATAAAAATATCTCTAACTCTCTCGATTAAGGTTATAAAAATACAATATTAATAAATTTAAAAACTAAACTAACATTTAATAACATTAGGGTCGTTACCTTTTTGTAATTTATACCAATAAAAACAAATTATTTAACCTATTTAAATCAAAAAGAAATTTATTTCCTAATAACTGTCCACGCCCCAAACTTCTGTTTCGCCACCATCACCATAAAGTGGTAACCTCGACTCCCACAGCCACTTACTTCGATTTAAATGAGCAAAATATTTTAAAATATTACCGCTACTATGGTACCGCAGTGCCGTTTTAGGGGAGTTTCCTTCCAGGAATGCTCAGATTATGGAATGAGCTTACTGTCAGGTAAGGTTTTCTCCAGGAATAACAGTATAAATCTTTCCAAAAAGCGCTTAACAAAGTTTCTTCGTTGTCAGCATAGCGCACGAGATAACCGTGTCTTTGTTAGCGTTCACAGTCAACGGTATTTATTTATCGTTAGAAGTCTTCAAAATATTGATATAAGAAATACATATTCTTTTTATGAGACAGCATGGCAGATGAGCTAAAGGCTCACCCAATGGAAAACGGTAACCGTGTCGGCTATAAACATGGACGTGGACATTACAGAATATTATTTATTGATTATTATTATATTATAGATTATTAACTGTCATTATCCTTACCTATCCCAATAATGAAGTACCACGTTCTACTGTTCATCCTAAAGATTGACTGATAGAGAATACTACTAGCATTACGCCCACCTTTTGTACCATAATTTATTTTGGTGAATAGAGTGATTTAAATAAATAAATAAATAAATAATACGCTGTGATGTCTAAGGTACAAGTACCTCCCATGCATTAGCACTCCCGAGGGCTACCATACTCATACATGCCTATATTTCCTGAAATGTCACTGCTGTGTACCACACCTTAAACCAAAATACAACCATACAAACACAGTTACTTTACGGTAAAAACAAAGGTAGCCATGTACGTGACTTTTGTAAAAAGTCTCCCTCTGATAAGTATTTATGTAAATACTTACCAAGTAACAGCTTCTTTTTCAAAAGCAGTAAAGCCTTCCGTTTCGTCCTGGGGCTCCTGTCGTGTACTGGTGTATCATAGGCAGATTCGTAGACGTCTTCAGCAGCCGGAAGCTGTAGTGCGTCCACTGCTGGTGACTGTTCCTGTGCTTGCGCATACACGGCCGCTACCAAACATGCGAGCACTACCAAAGTACTTAACTGCATTGTTCTTTCTGAAAACATAATTTTTTTTAAATACAATAGTAAATAGGTTTAAATAATAATCTATGTCAAAAGAAAAACCTAGGCCAAATTTCAAAAGTAATGAAAAGCATGGTGTGTATTGGAAGGGATCTTTTATGATAGAATAAACAAACAAAGGTTAGAAGAAGAGCTAGAAATAGATTCACTATGACGAGTTTAAGCTACCCATAGAATTTTTTTAAAAATTTACAGCATATATACTAATATCTATCAACTGCCTTTTTAAATAGACACAAATGTAATAAAAAACAATAATAAAGTCATTGTTTTCTGATTAAATATAATAATTACGTAGCTTACTATAATTGGATACTAAACTCTTCTATATCGTATTGACATACGTATAAATGTAGTAAAAATTGCATATACAAACTCGAGACATAATATACAACTTTGTAACGCATATAATGATAAATTATTCGAGTTAAACAGCTTTATATAAGGTACCAGTAACATATTCATCTTCGACGTAAAAATACCAAAACATGGCATTTTACTTTCAGCTATAATATTATGAAGTAGTTTCAAGGCGTCTGTATAAAGGGCACTTGAACTTCCAGAAAATACTCGTTAAGTTTCGTTCTATATAGATACCTCCAATACATATTTCCGGGTATATAAATAAACAAGGTCAACGGGATTCCAATTTATTTGAAAATCAATAACAAATAAAAGTAAATATTATATTGTCATGTGTATTTGTGTCTTTCGGTTTGAAGCATAAACTAAGTATAATGTTACACTTTATAATAAAAAATCTAAAGAATGGGATATGACTAACGTGACCTCAGACGTTCCCTTTTGAACATGACTGACCCTTTTTATAATTACGAGTCGCGGTATCCCCGAAATAAACTCTAGGACGAAAAATTGTGCCGTTATCGGAAACTGCGCGATAATTTGAGTACTTGATAATTAAGGTGAATAAATAAAAATCAGCGAAGAGTTTCATTCTTACTTGAAATTTTTACCAGCAATATTAAAATTAATAGCAAAATTATCCCTTCGTTAAATATAAATAAACAAAATGTTTAATTATATTTATCGGGTATATTTTTTAATTCGTAACTTTGAAACTAACTTTTCCTTAATAAATAACTTTTAAAAAGTGTAAATAAACCAATGTCCCGTTTTAAAAGAAAGAATAAATTGTCACGTTAAATATAACGGGGAAATTACAGGTTAAGAAACCATAATATCTTAATGTTGACGTATGCAGACGAGTACCCGTGATTCATGCCTAAAGGCGATAATTACCACTTTTTACCACCCATGCATGTGAGACGTCAACTTATTTACCATTCCAAGTTTTATGAAAAAATCATATCATAGAGAATGCTTAATTGCACAAATCAAGACACAGATTGTCATTAATTTCCCCTGCCAAGATTTCCAGTTAGATACCATATCTATCAGTACCTATAATCGACAGAAATGCCATGACACAAAAATCATAATCATGTATTTTTCATTATAACAATTGATTTCTGATAGCATCATAACAGTGCTTATTAGATAGGTCATGAGAAGTCTGAGTCAATTAATTACTAATTACTTTACTACTACCACTATCGTAGATAAATAAAATAATAAGCCTCTGCAATAAAAAATGGGACGTGACCTTGGTTACAAAAACCAATTAATAATACATTCTACAATAATAATAGTACCTAAACTAAACATGTGAAACTATGTGTATAAAATTGGTAATTAAAATACTAATATAATATAAAAAAAAATAATAGATAAATTTATTACCAAAGCAGACAGGTAAAAGTCCTATTAATCTTATTGGTATTATAAATACAAAAGTTTGTAAGAATGTACGAATAGATATCTATTACTCTTTCACGACAAGTACTGAATGAATTTGAATAAAATTTGGTACTCGAGAGGGTTATAGGCTAACTTAGTACACAGGATACGTTATACAATGAGTCATGTAGACAAAGCCACGGAATATGCCTAACTAATAAAGAATTTACTCGTAAATGTGTGAAACAAGAGTTACGCATTTATTTATTATTTTAATTGTTTCCAAAAAATATTCTTTCATTCGCATTTTTTTGTATTTGTTCACCAACTTAACTAAAATTGCAATCGATAAAATTTATAATAAATTCTTATAAAAAATTATAATCAATGATTGCAAAAATAGTTTTTATTTACGTGTTCGTTCCATATTAATTTAATCAGTTTTCAAATAGCAGTTTTTACGAAGCAAAATATAAAATTACATTCTTAGTAATATTACTGTGATAAAGTACATACTATATAATCATTTTAGCCCTTAATTGTCCACTGCTGAACATAACTCTTCCCCATAAGGGGAGTTTTGCCAGTAGTAGGAACTTGGCATGTGAGTTAGCAACCACAATTAGATTTTTAAAGATGTTTTAAGAGGGACGCTTCTGCCCATCCACCATTAAGTTTCCTTAATCACATTTACGACATTCATAGGAAAGGTAGGGTGGCCTATTCTATGGCGGGACTACACGGACCACCACGGACATATGGGTAGCGGTAAATACTATTGCTATCTTATGTAATTACATATATTCTGTACCAGGAACTATCAATTATCTAACACCCTTAAAATAGGCTTTACTTAGTTTACAACTAGATGGCGATGTATAATATAAAATCTAACAAAATATCCAAATAACCCTTTCTAATTATAGCCAGGATTGATGCCCGTGTTTGCAATGTTATACTTTGTTTGTAAATTTATCGCCGAGCACTGTTTAATGTAAGACAATTTTAGAAATTTAGCTAATTGGGCAGTTTCCTTTTCTGTTAATTGCGATATTCATTTCCTTCGGTATTTACTCAAAATTAATTATTTAAGGGTGATCAGAAATATTCATTAACTAATTGGGTGGCTGCTGCATTTTGTTTGAATTGTTTGGTATTATGCTAAAATATTACCTACTGTAGTGTAATTTAAGATCTTTTTACACAGAAAAATGTACTTCAATTGTGACAAAATTAATATGAAATAAAAACGATAGTAAATTCAATCTATTGCAAATATGTATTGATTCAGAATTGGCAATATATCGCCTAGCATACATCCAAATATATATAAATGTTTGTATATATTTTACACGTTACCTATGCCAATTTAAAATTGACTTAGCAAAATATAAACTATCCAATTCTTAACTTCATATTAATGTATACATATTTTGTAAAATAACAACAATAAAATAAAATATACTTAACAAATTAAAATTTTTTTAATTAAAAAAAATGGTCAAATTAAAAAATGTTTAAAATAATTGCAATAATTTAAGATGTGTTTCTGTGTGATTTAAAAAACCGTCTCCAATTATGGCAAAACTAGTTATTTTTATTTCAAAACTTAACTACTAAACCGATTTTGATAAAATTTCTATTGGATTAATCTGAAAGTAGCCATTTAGTCCTGGCATCTATGCTGGAAATACGAAATAGTAGAAGAATGTTCATAAGCGTTCCTCTTAAAACATCTCTAAAAGCCTAACTGTGGTTGCCAACCTACCCACCAAACATAGCAACTACTGGCAAAACCCTCCCAGAGGGAAGGCTTATGTTCTGCAGTGGACGGCTAAGGGCTGATATGATGACGACGATTAAAAAAAAATTAAATTAAAATATTTTCAATATTTCATTAAAGTTCATCTAGCCATTTAAACATAGTTAAGGGATTTGCTTTTTTTAGATTTTTTGTATTAAATTTGATTTAGATGATGTTAGTTAGTAGCATTTATTTTATTCGCAATTACCAAACATGTTCTAAAAATCTGTATATAATAACTATGTATCTACGTACGATCTTTGACGACATTCTATTTAAAAATGCTGAAAATATGGAGAGAAAATATTTAGAAATTTAATTTCAGCAAAAAGAAAACCAAGTCGTGGCTGCAAAGCATTGGTACGGAAATTGAGACATTTTTATTTGATTTTCGTTCAACATTTCCTATCTTCTTGCAGTGCAGATGCCGGTAGCGAAGAAAAATATTCATCATTCCCCAACAAATAAAAAAAAAACCTGTACATTCAGCAACAGCAATGTATTAATTACTATCATAAGTTATAATAATGCACGATCGATGTTACTAACGCAACTAAAGCAATATGTTTAAACCAATACAGTGCAATAAGTACGAAGATGTTTAAATTGTTTAACTTCTTTACGAAATGAACACACTTGTCAAATATCAACGGTACTTATGCGAATTTATTGACTCTATTCACACAGCCAAGCGTGAAATCAAAACACAAGACACGTAACGTTATACAATAAGTAATTGTTAAGTACCTTGGTGGAACAGTTGGTACACAACACAACACTGCTGCAGTCACTGATAGACAGACCACGATGATAGGATGTCCAATTCTTTTATAGACTGCAAAAACAAATAACCGTGGGAGGGCGGGTGAACAATGCACGCAAGGGCTTACATTTTTCAATACCGCATCTCTCGTATTCTAGAGAAGTGAGAGTTCTTAGTAATTTCAGACTGGTTGCAGGTATACACTGATCATTTATGATATATATATATATATATATATATATATATATATATATATATATATATATATATATATATATATATATATATATATATATATATATAATATTCACAAGAAATAATACATTAATTTATTTTTAACAAGTCTGGTTAGTTGCCACAAACACAAAGTTAGATCCTCCTTCATTTTAAAATTGTATTTATCGTCATTACAACACTCACACCATAAATAAACAGTTCTCAGAAATAATACATGATCACACAGTGTACTTTGAGTCTTAAAAGACACTGCGATGCCCATCGTGTTTAGTATTTATGAAATTGAATATGTTGTACACATGAATATATTTCGAAATAGAAGTTTTCTCTAACAATGTACGAAATAAACAATAAGTAATAAATAACTATACTTGATGATGTGCAAAAAGATCTTTAATTCAGCTATTAGTCATTTTATCATCCTTGACCTCCGAGTTTTCATTTATCTAACTATATCTACATATTTTGTAACATGCATCTACATATTCAACAATTAACAAGTAGCCTAAATAGCTTTGCCCCATTTGAGTTACACTACAGCGTACCAACTATTTAATCTGTGGCTGCACTTTGCCGAACCATTAACTTAGACCATCTTCTTCATAATTACATTTTATTCACCTCCGCTATGTACAATTATAATTCAAGTTTACCTATTCTACCTCACTTAATGAATTTTGATAATAATTATAATTTTCTAAAAGTATTTACAGAATTCAATTATTTTGCAACACACCTGCCATTTCTTCGGTTATCGACAGTGGTAGACGTTCACTTATCATCAAAAAATAATTTCATAGTGTCCATCCATATAGTCATCCCATCGTTATTCTATTTTAGATCAAAACTGTTAAACTAGCTCAAGGTCAGGCATTCATTTAAAGTTGTGTGAATGTCTTAATGCGTACATATACGTCAAATACTACCTCTTTTTTACCATGCTCCTGAATAACTTTGTGGAGTTGTTTTCTTTCCATCAATCTAAAGACTATTATAACTATAATGTTTCATTAAAATTAATGAAAACAAACAAATAAATCAGAAAGTCTGGTGGTGTCCAATAGTAAAACAAATAAAAAATGTTTTTATTACTACTATTTTCTTTATTTATTTTTTTTTATTTACACTCATTTAGACAATGTTTCTATGATAATTTCAACAAAACTTAGTTACTTTATTATGAGTTGTACTTTATTAAGTTCTGTAGAAACAGACTATACTTACAAATATTATAATGCAAGGCATATTGATTCCACTTTTTTATAATACTAGTCAATCTTGAAACTATGTCTGCACAAATTAGGATAAAAGATATAATATCTTATACGTTTTGCAACAAATATGGTATAGAAATATCTTTACAGACTTTCATACTTATATATATATTATTATCATAATATTAGTTGGATTCAAATATATATAATACACACATACAATACCATCGAAACCCTGACACAATATCAATACGAGGACAAACGTAAGACATTGTCCAGTGAAGAGATTTTGACCACCCACACATTCTTACGCGTGCTAAAACAGGTGAGTAAAATGGCTGGAACTCTCTCATTAAATCAGTGTTTATCACTGACTTAGTCAGAGAGTTCCAGGATCTAGGTCCCAATCCTCAGTTATTAAATGGAAATCAAAGTACGACGACCTAATCCAAATTTTAATAAATCTCAGGCAGTACAGATAATGTACCAAACGAAAATGAGAAATTCATCTTTTATATAGGTGTAAATCTACGTATTAGCTAATATGTGCATGGTAATGATATCAGCCGTTAACTGTCCATACTGAATGCTGAATATCGACCTTAAAGGGTTTTGCCAATAATTACCACACTTGACAGGTGGGTTGGCAACCGCAGATAAATTTTGGTGACTGCTGAAAATAGGCCTCCCCTTGTAGGGTTTTGCCAAGAGTTGCCATGCTTGGCAGGCGGGTTGGCAACTGCCGATAGGTTTCAAGATGTTTTAAGAGGGATTTATACCTTATTATATGTACATATAACCTAATAATAATTCTACAAGACGCTTTTATACCTACTAATTTTGAATCGTATTGATTAATAATGTTTATACAAAACACATATTTTTCAAGGATATAATATCTACTCATAATTTATAATCAGGTATTCAGTTTCGATGCCATTACAATAAGGAAGTACTTCCGAGTATCCAAAAGTTGAGCCCATAAAAAATAAAAGTCGTCAACGTTCACCATTACATCAGGTCATTGTAGTGGTTGTCATTGGTGCCCTTAAAAGGTGTACAAAACCATCCATCACACTTTAACGGCAGGTCAAACGAAAGGTCACTAAAGGTGAGGAGTTATTTTTATTCGTTGACTCGACCAAAGGATCTCATCCACAAGGCCGGAAGCTTAATTTAATTTTCCCTTTATAAAATTTACATAAAATTTATTTCAAAAAAATATTTTCTATTTGACTGCATAGAACTGCATGACATATGAATATACATATGTAATGAAGTAATATCAATTGCCAGTTACGTATAACCTACGCACCTACTCCTACCAGTTGGTCCTTCATCAAGCGATTACTATCCAAATATTGTTGTATTTGAACAGCAAATATCTACTTCACAAATAAATCAGTCAAGACCACGAAAGATGAGTATAATAAAATTAAATTGGTGATGAAACACATAATTTCTGCATACTGAAATGAAATTATGTAAGCATGTTATATGATGAAAATGTGTAAGCAGCTAGTATATGAATACCATAGAAGAAAACACAATTAATAAATTACAATAAAAGTAAACGAGTTCCCACATACATACATATCTGTCATGCCTGTCTCCCATTGGGGTAGGCCGAAACAATGGAACGCCAAATGCTTCGATTCAAACACCTCTTTCGCTTCTTCCACATTCCTCAATCTTTTCATACACGCTGGCTAATTACGGGTATTTTTAATTTTTGCCCATTCTTCAGCACCTATTTGGTCGACATACGTCCGTCTAGGGCTTCACCTATCAACATCCGAGTTCCTACTGCTATTTTAAACACGAAAGTGTGTAGGACGTAGGGATAGATATTCATTAGTCTTTTACGAAAAAACTCTTGAACGGATTTGATTTTAATTCGGTACCCATATAAGTTATAACCTAACTTAATATAATATATAGGATTCTTTATATAGTCATTGTAGCAAGCGAAGCCGCAGAATACATATATGTAAAACTTGACAAATTATGCTCTTTTATGTAAATGTTTTATACCATTGTCATCTTGATTAAGTTTATCTTCAACACCCCCCTTGTACTGTATATTCTATACTAGCCAGCCATATACAATACCTTCTAAACAACCAAATAAAATTACCAAATTAACTTATTTACTCAACTAACCTAATAAATATGGGGGAAGCGGTTGTTAGTAATAGTGCCCATTTCTAACAATATACTCTATTAGATAGACCTCCACGCAATCCCCTCTGGAAACCATCGTAAAATAATTCCTGCTAAATTCGTCACAATGGACTAACTAACCCGTCTTCATCTTCACCAGTCATCACTCACAAGTACATGCCCCGCCAATGCATAGATAGATAAGTCGTTTGCTTGGATTCCTCTGTTCCATTCATGTTTCAAACGTGAAGCAGTTGTGTCTGCATAACTATGTTTCGATTTGAAGAGTACGATATGGCAGTGAATTTACAGGGTACAGAGGCATAACACCTTATTCCTCAGGAATGGCAACGCATGAGGGTATCATGGGCGAAATACTCGTATATCCATATATACTCTGGTATATCCATGATATCTACTGCTCATGTCTATAGGCGACCGTTACCACTTTCCACCAGGTGGGCCGTCAGCTTATTTGCCATTCTAAGTTGTATAAAAAAGGTACCTATAACGCAGACCAAATTCCCTTATAAAAGACTTATTACAAGTAAAATCTAACTCACAAAACGATTTCTACTACTCTTCTATTTTCTTAAAGACTTGTTTGTTTTAGTATTAGTTACTCATTAATCTTACGGAAGTTCATAATATTGCTAACAACAACGCTAATGTATGTTAATACTTATTAAATGAACAAATTAAGCTCTTTGCTCATGATTTCCCTATGATGATACCTTGAAACTTCAAAATTTAAATTGTGTATAATTACATAATACAATCAAACAACACTTCAACTAATTAATCATTTACCATTAAATTATAAATATGCAATAATAAGCAGTATTCTTTGTGTAAATGAGATTTAATTTTTATTCTTTAAGCCGGGCCATTTGAGTTAACACAATATGTTATCTACCTTCAAGAAAAGAACATATTCCTTTTTAAAACGCCGGGGCACACCTGCAATGTCGTTGGTGTTGTGGGTGATCATGGGCGGCGGTAATCACTTACCATCAGGTGAGCCGCATGCTCATTTGCCCCCTGTGTTGTAAAAAAAGTCTTATTTTAATCATTTTCTTTTTTTTAACAACATAGAATGGCAAACAAGCTGACAGCCCACCTGATGGAAAGTGGTAACCGTCGCTTATAAACATAACAGAGTATACTGTTTCGCCCATGATACCCCCCAATGCGTTGCCATTCCTGAGGACTCCTCACTTACTTATTCCTCTGTACCCTGTAAATTCACGCCATATCCCACCCTTCAAACCGAAACACAGCCATGCAAACACAACTGCTTTACGGTTGAAACACGAATGTGACAGAGATACCCATGCAAACGACATTTGTATAAAGTCTCCCTCTGGTATAATTGATCTACTTGTTAGTTAACAATTTATGTGGTTTTAAACCATTCTCTGTGTCTACCATCTCACAACCCTGACATTATAAGATAATAATAACAGATGCGCAATAATAAATTATAATAAACAACGACATATTTCTTGGTATATTCGTATTTACCTAATAATTAGGTACGGAAAGTCTAGAAATCTAGTAGGTATCTATAAAAATAATTGCTATTTCATTTTTAACAAGTTTAGTTATTGCTGTCACAAGCAGAAAGGAATTATAATTACTAAAAGCTTTATTACCATTATTTAGTTTGCATTAAATAGAATTTATTAAATAGACAAAATTATTTTCTAAATAACTTTGATATGACGGTTATATTTTTCAATTGTAATTTTATTATCCATGTTTATACTATATATATATATATAAAACGAAGGAGTTCGCCTGTTTATCGCCTACAACTATCAGTCGGATATGAAAAATTCTTTATGCATTTGATAGCTCATTTCTTGTGGAATGTTTAATAACCTTTCACTATTAGCTATTTAACATCACAATACGGCTATATGAGAAACTGCGAAATATAGCATTATATGCGGATTTCATTTAGAAGAAAATATACAATTACATATAGGAATTCAATATTAAATAAAAAAAACTATTAGATAATTTGATAACAAATATTATATGTTGAAATCTTTATGTTTTTTTTATAATATAGATAATAATTTTACGGTCTGAATACAATTTTATTTCACTGCGACAAAATGACGGTGGACACGCTTGGTCATTTTTCATGAATCTACGCAATATAACTCACAGCTAGACGAATAAAATGATACCTGATTTATCAAAATCTGTTCAGTCGTTAGTTCGTATGAGGACTAAAAACCAAAAAAGTTAAAAGCTTCTCGATATACGAAATATTACTTTTGGCAGTAGGATAAATAAACTTTACTGTATTGGTTATTGTATATTAATAATGCGTTAATAACGACCTTGTGGCGAAGCGGTTTAACAAAGTGCCTCACCTTCTGAACGTTGCGGGTTCGATGCCCGCAGAAATACTATTTGTATTTTGCGACCATGCTTTTACATATATAAATAAGTTAATGTGTATCTTTATTTGTATTATACATGATATATAACTCACAACTTTTCTGTTCTGTGGTTCAGAATATGACAGAGGTGTCGAGACACTGATTATTCCCTACAATGTTGTTTGAAATTAGACAAGGCGTAGTATGTATCACGCTAAATTTATGTGTATTTTTTACTTCAGGTTATCCCCTTATTCATTATAATACTCATTAAATGCTAAATCCGGACTTCAGATAAAGGGATTGACGTAAGTTTGCCATGCATTAACAATATAACATGTGAATATCTAATATCAGACACTGCGGAAGGGAATGCAGGTAATGGTCCCATTGCTATCAATGTAAGGTATAATAGAGGTCAGGTCTACCTTGACGTGGTCCCATCTGGATCCCATCGTGATTCATTTCTAAAAAATTGGCCATAATGAACTTTTTTCAATAGGGGAAAATGGCATGGAAACCCCGCCTGCGCTATCGATATACGCTGGCGGAAAAAGCAGGTAAGTTAGCCCATCGTGACGAATTCAACGATAAATTAGTCACGATAACTTCCATATATTGTATACTCGTATATTGATAGCAATGGGTACTAACCTCCGCATTACTAATAATCCCTTCCCCCCCTCCCGCAATAATGAACTAACCTAACTTCATCCTCACATGCTCATGTCATCCCTCACCGGTGTCCTGCTAACGTACGTATATAGATAGCACAGGCGAAATAGCCGCTCATTATCAACCGTTAAAAAAATACCACTCACTAACATTAAAACAAATTGGTGTCCACTAAGTTGGAAACACTCATCAATCCAACTCGCGTCTAACACCTGTCATCATAAACTTAACCAAACTTTACCTACTTATATTCACATTGTTAGTTAACACAGATCACGGAGTGCTGCACATATTGAATTTTAATGAAAACCTAAACCTATTACATTTGGGGGGAAAGGGATTGTTAGTAATGGAGTTTGACAGCCCCATTGCTAGCAATATGCCTTATTAGGTCGACCTCCACGTGGTTCCCCCTGGAAACCATCGTGAACAATTCTTGTTGAATTCGTCACGATGGGCTAACTGACCTACTTCATCTCCTCACCTATCATCCTTCACTGGTGCCCCGCCGGTGTATACCGATAGCGCGGGTGGGGTTACCATTCCATTATCATCCATTAAAAAAAAACCTATTACATTATTAAAATCCATGCAGCCATTTAGAGTGCACGTCGTACCAAAGATCGGGACTTACATACACTTAGAACTGGAAAGTCTTCAACAATCTAGTTATTAACAATCGATACAACAATGTATTTTGTGGTATCGATTGCATAATATTTGAGTTTGCGGCTCATCGAGTAACGTGTTTGAATAAAATACGGGCCGGTTCCGCGATTGGTCGAAACATGTTCATGCTATGCGCCTGCTCATGTAATTTGTAATTACGTCAATTCGCGTGGTCAAAGTGACATAAGGCTATTACAGTTCACGCATAAGTAGCACATGTGGTGACCGCAGCGACTACAAATAAGGTCCAAATCACGTTTTTGCGTTACAAAGTAGTTCATATGTGGTAAAAAAAATTACCTATTTAAATAAAAATTACTATATAACCTGTCGAAATAGTACAAGTGTTCCAACTTATAAAGTTAAAATTGTTTTTTGACTAGTATGGATAATGTAGGTAAATACAGATTTTTCCAAGAGACTACAACATGAAGTTCTTTAAAAAAGTGATAAAGAGGTTTCTTTGGGGTCGGCAACGCGCGCGTAATGGCCCTGCTATCGCAAGCGTTCATAGGCTACTATAACCAGTTACCATCAGGTGGACCGTATGCTTGTTTGTCACCTCAGTGATATAATAAAAATACAGAGTAGAATTTAATTTCTGCTATAATTCGAAATTTAAACATTTAGGTCTTAATCACCTACAACTACAATATAAATAATAGTACCTATCATATAAATAAGTACTTATTATATACACTATAATATAAGTAAGTACGTATTGGTACTTACACTTATATCACGAAAATTTAATGAATTATACATGTACTAAATACATACATATTTCAAATTTCACTTACATAGGTGCCTAAGTGAAAAAAAATATCAAAATGAACAATTAACAAAACAGATTCACAACGCGTAAGTAAAATGATAAAAGTACCTAACTTGAATTGACTGATAGAGAAATATGTAATGTTATGTACCTATTACCTCCTCTCTGGTGATATCATCACCAATTCGAAAATACATGGCCAAATTTTTTGTCCTTCGTCAAAACCTTGGCTTATTATTAACATTTATTACAGGTACTGCCAATGATATAATCCAAAGCTTAAGTGTGAATGTAAATGTGGGGTATGGACGGTTTAAATTGAAGAGAACAAAATTAGGGCTCATCCGGGATTTGAACCCGGGGCCTCCTACACCCAAAGCAGGAATCATACCACTAGACCAAGAGGCCGCTTCATCTACCTTTTCAAATTCTCTATCTCTTACTTATTTAAAAGAAACTTGTTTCTTTATTATATATATTTATATAATTAATAAATATTTAAACAAATTAAACATATATACGCTGATACAATACACTCTTAAATACATAATTGTAAATAATTACGAGTAAGATGATCATATCGTTTAAATTTATTAAATTAATGTCTGAAATAGTATATTTTATGCATAAAAAAATAGGACCCAAATAGATGAAATTAAAAACTACTAAACTCAACATTCAAATCTAAAAAAAATTAAGAGCCATCTAGCAAATATTATAAACTTAAAAATGTATAAAATCTTGTGTTCGATCGTGTGATGTATAGATGTCGCTTTTGTACTTGCTTTCTGTACTATCTTTTCTCCAAAGAAATAAAGTAGATGTCACTACCACTCACAAAACAGCTGTTTGCTACGGTGTTTTGCTTTCCATTCGTTGACAACTTCATTTATTTCATGTAGACAGAAATCAGTCCCGTACTCTGAGACAGTAAGAATTTCGGTTCTCTTTCGTGAGTTGTGTTATTTCTACTCATTGCAAAATAATACCAAATTTTATTTTGTTGACAAATTTTATAAACAAGTGCACAATTTTGTCTGTTTTACCTTTACGGCTCGTGTTCTTGACGAGAATAACTGCAAAGTGTGTATAAAATTCTTATGTGTTCAGCTGATACCTTTCACAACACAAAGGATATACGGGACACTCCGTTGTTTTCTGTGCGCATTTCACCAAAAGCCTGTCAACATATATTTACATACTGCTGAATGTAAGTATGTTGTAATGTTTTACACTTGTATCTAAAGATTATTTTACATTACACATGCATGGAAAATTTACTCTCATATACCTACTTATTGATTTACTTTCAAACGTCCTTAGGAAACAAACCAAAGATCGGGTTTGAGAGATTATAAGAACAATTTTATTATTAAATCTTCGCTTGAGTGCGAGTTATAAATATTATAATGATTGTGATATTAAAATTCTAAAAATTACATTGAGTTAGTGTTCTATTCCCCGAAACAATGATATTAATTTTAGCAGAGCTTAAGATTTGACATTTAAAATTTACAAACAATAATTCAATAACTATCATTTATTAGTAAGCATCTAAATAATTTGGAGTACTTATAAATTAGCCCTATAAATATCTATTTAAAGCCAGCTTATACTAAAAAGAAATTACATTACTGTCAAACCCTGAAGCTAGTTTACAATGAAAAACTGTACTATTTTCTATCATATTTAATTGTATAGCAGTTAATATGAGATACCCATAAGTTGGATTTAAATATATTTCTATGTGACATTAAAGAGGTAGCTGTTACCTAAAAAGTAACCACAACATTTCAGAATATCAGTACCTCTCATATGTTGCCTTAACCAAGGACGCACCACTCACCTTCACCATGTCTGTTAATAGACCTCTGCATGATTGTATTGTAGAATTAACATAGCTTATGCTTTTTATTACATATTTAATATGGCATTTTTAATACTTAATAAAGATTAGGATCCCATATAAGAGTTTCAATAAAATTGTTAAGGCTTTATTTATTTACACTTTTTTGCACCATTCAAAAAAATAATAAATACAGTAAATATTATTGTGAACTGATGAACAAAAGTTTCATAATATCTTATCAATAAATAATCTTTTCCAAACCACTTTTGAGTGGAGGACATTAAGAAAAAAGACAAAGGGTAGGTGGCACCCTATTATATAGATATTAGTTTATTTAGGAAACTGTTCCTTTTGTGCAAATGTAACTCAACTTGGATATATTTCATATTGATATTTGTCATCTTAAATTTATTACTGATTTTACAAAAATTCTTTAATTAACACTACATATGTCTCATTAAGAAACATACTATAACTATTCAAAATTCCAAAACTTTACTTAGACATTTCACTATTTGGTGATAAGTAATTTTATATCTATGTTGTATTTAATGAATAGTCAGCTAAGTTGATTTTAATTGTTAAGTATTTATACATCTTAAACACACTTAACATTTTCAGTATATCGTAATATTTCTAATTTTTTATAACTTTCATTGTAAGGTGTTAACAATAGTCATGGTATTCAGTCATGACCCCATGATGATAGTGTGATAATTAATCCAACACATTTATTATTTTTTGCCATTGCACAGTCTAGGAAAAACAAATTTTAGATTCTCTGATGTGCTAAGTAAACAATATATGAAATTAATTAGGTACTAATACTAGAAATAAAAAAAAAGAATGTATTTTTTTATCTTAGATTCTTTGCATTGTTCATTATAAATAATAATGTAAGCATAGGTGCATTATAATATAAATTTTTTTAACATTATATAAAAAATAATAATTACCTTACAAATATATGTATATATATATATATATATATATATATATATATATATATATATATATATATATATATATATATATATATATATATATATATATTTATATATTATATATTATATTTATATATTATTGTTTTACTTAATGTAACATAGTATCTAAAATTGATCTAAATTCCTGCACTTGTGTATTTTGTCTAGCAGGACAGTATTATTATGTACAATACTGTGTTATATTATTTTTTTCATTTGTTAAAAGGTTAGTAATTTCTTTTAGCTAGTTTTAGCTACAAGTAATATTTAAAATAATAGACTTAATGTCATTTGTTTAGTAGTTGGCCTTCACAAACTCAATGAGGCATTCATAATTATTTCCAAACCATAGCAACCAACTATCTTCTGCTCTGATTTCCATATATTCATTATGAATAATCACTAATATGTAACATGGTAATAATATTTTCATTTTTTTTTTATTCTAATACACACCTACTATTTGTGTGCCTGTAAATAAGATAGGGTAGATATAAGTATATATTACTATGTATTCTCTACAATACATTCTTATATTATAGAAATAACAAGCTTATTAATTCATTGTTTGCACAGACTCAAACAATACTACCTGTTAACACATACATAAAATGTTTGTGATTTCCACATATCTACTAATTAAATATACTAAATATTATCTAAAAATGTTACTGTTATTTCCGTTGTGTAATAGAATAATTGCGCTTTAAATGTGCTTAAAGGAAAATTTTAATAGTAACATGAATAAGACTGAATTTTAGCAACTCTTGGCACAACCTTGGACCTCATCCTAAATGCAAGTAAATATGCACTAGCAGATATTTATTAGATATTTAGTTTTACAATCTCACGATAAGTATCTTATTTCTTGGGGCAAAATGATGTTGTTATTGTTCACATGTCATGTCATGTCAATATGGTTATAGACTCTTGTCTCAAGTCTTACATCACAATATATGGTGGTTGTGACATGTGATGATGCTTGCTTCCTTGTTCGTGGCATTAAAAAAATTCTCATTACCTTTTTTAAATATAATTAAGAAGCTATATGCCGTCGCTTCGTCCGCGTGTTTCAATAATATAAAAATCTGTGTATCAAATTTTAATTGTATATGTTCAGTAGTTTTTGTAAGAAAGAAAAAAAAACATTCTCATAAATTTTTGCAATAATTAATAATAGGATGTAAATTACAATTATCAATGTTTTAGGTATGCAATAATAACTAGGTGTAAATTAAGCGAACTAGTAATATAAAGAGTGGAGATTTGTTTTTCCTAATTTTCTTAATAGTGATATCTAACTTTCAAGTAATATGTATATGTAATAACAAATAAACATGGGAAGGCACGAAGATCAAAATCTAGTTTATAAAGACACGACCTAGGTATACCATTATGATACAAACACAACATTCACCTTCACATAATTCGCACGCTGTGCAATGTATGCGAATTTTCATACTGATCCAGCACAATTCTAAACAACCGTATTGCTATTTGCATCGGCGACTGCGCAGAGAAACGTGATGCAAGCTTGTGGGTCAGTATGTGCTTCCGCCTAACGCCTGATGGTCACCAGCGCAGAAATGCACGCCACTTGCCAACTATTATCTTATTCATTGATTAAATTAATGATCACGCTACAAAAATTCGGACAGGACTGGTCATTCTATATTGGTTTTAAAACACTTGTGGTGGCAGGTTACTAATCTCTTGCATTACTGTTGCACATCAAAAAAATTATGTTGCATCTCTAATGCACTATAATTTTACCAATCCAAACCCAGTTGTTATTCGATTTAGGTTACAATTATCCTTGGATAACTTTCTCCAAGGAATATAGGTCGAATCGAAATACGAAAATAATTTGGAAACTTTTCGTGCAAACCATGTTTCTATTCCTTGAAATGAAATAAAATTTTCTGACCTAGTTGTACATACTTATGGACTATCATTCATTATAAAAGTAGGTACACTATGGATTAGTCGATGTAGTATACGATACACTGTAAAAGTGACCCAGTTTCTATTTGAACCTGGCATATTAATGCTTTTGTTAACTGATTAAGTATACCTGTTAGTTTACTATCTATTCTTATGGGAAATTTTAGATATTACTATATACGACTTTACGAACATTTCTTTGATAAACGGTTCAATCAAATTTCGTTGTTGTACGTATGAATTCTTTTTATTTTTGCAGTGGACCTTAAACTCTTGTAACCATATTCACATGTTCACAGAACGTAAAGAATTAGTATCATTCAGAACGCAGTAATCACGACTTGTATTAAATTGTAATGTGTGAACGGGCCGTTACACATACAGTAAACGATCATGGCCTCTTTACAATGTGCTCTATCTAGTGTATGTAAGTGTAAATTTATATAATAATATAAAAGCACGTGCACATTATCAGCTGTTTATAACACGTTTTTGATCACCTTTGTTTATTTTGCACGCAACGAGCTAATCTTGACCCACATGTTCGGTTAATTCATGTTAATTCACTTATTCACTTTAGCCACTGCATCACAATGATGGTGTCGTCAACATTATAGGTACGTAGCGTAAAACAAGGGCATGTCTCGTTTTGTTGTTGTTGATTTCAATGTCAATGAATATCATGTTGGTCTAAAAATTGTCTTTTGATATTACATAGTAGTAAAATTATTTCAGAGATAATCGAATAAAACTAGTTTATCTCTTCTTGCTTCTGAACGAGAATAATTTACCTAGTCCTGTTATCAGTTATTACAGTAACTAATTGTTTACAAGTTCTTGTTAATATATTATAACGCAATAAAGTTATGCCAGCAAACAATAAAATTCTCTAGATTAGTACTTATAAGGTCCATTGTATAAATTTTTACGTAAACGTTTTCTTTTCTTTTAAAATATATTAATTATTACAATAATTATGATAAGAACTTACGAATAGATACATAATTTTAATCAAACATTAAATAAACGAACTCCTTTTTGCTTAAAACAGCACTTCATGTATTGTAGTATCCATGTTTCAATCATTTCTGGGTTTCAGCTTGTTAATTATCATTCTCTTAATTTAGTTTAAATCATAATTATCTACCTACCTGGTTAACATTTATTAATATCTATCAATAATACATATAATATCTATTAATAATGCAGCTTTTTGTGTATACAGTATTTGTCATATCTACACAGAACGCACAGCTGCATAAATAAACTACTACAAATAAACAGCTTACTTAAACCTAAACCACAGCCTAAACATACAACTATCGCGCTTATATTTTGTCAATTTTTAATATACTTTTAATAATTATTTAAATTTCTAATAGTAAATATTTGTTGTACCTTTCGCTTGTTTACCATTCTCAAGAGATTTAAGAG